TCTCTCTCTCTCTCTCTCTCTCTCTCTCTCTCTCTCTCTCTCTCTCTCTTTCTCTCTCTCTTCCTCTTCTATTCTCACTCATTCTCATAATAAAGCGTGAAATCTTGATACAGTAAAAATATAGTCTATTCTATTCTATTATAATTATACATATTAAAATAGTAATAATTCTTATGATATATGCATGGCACCCACATTAGAGGACACTATTAGGATACTATCTTTTAATTGTGATTTAGAAGTTTTTGTATAATATATTGTATGAATTATTTCTAATTTATATACCTGCTAGCCAAACGATATAAATATATATTTTATTAATAATAATTATAATAATAAATATATTATTGATTTTCAACCATGTTATAAATCTACTGTTTTTATTTTTTATTTATTTATTTTTAATAATCTTTTCCCTCACAATTTACCTTGCTACAGAGTACCACCAGAAATTGAACGGTATCGAGTTGAGTGACTGCCAAATCAAACGTCAAAATCTCGTTAAACTCCGGTTGCGCGACGGCGCGCAGGAATTTGGTTTTCTTCTTCTTCATCTTCTTACCCGTCTTCCCGTTTAACATTAACACTCTAACATATGGATCTGCAATAAAAGTATTTGTTTAAAAATATTTTTTTACGATATTAACATTGGCAATACTTACTAAATTCATTTAAACTCAACACAGTTGGTATAAATTTGATATCGCGCAGCTTCATGATGTTAATAGTCAGTCTTTCTGCAGTGGGTAGATAACTTATAGCTAACAAAACGTTGCCAAACTCCTAGAAAGTATATATATAATTATATGTATTATACATATTATTTTTTAAATTATTATTAAGTGTAAATTAATTCGATGCCTTGTAACTCCGTTTTAAGATTAAATAATTTTCCTGCTTTTTCCCAAATGTGGACCTCTACGTTTCAAAAATACCATATGCCTTGAAGAAGGAGACGATAAAATCTCACAAAACAGTAGTGAACACGTACGATGGCGTTTAAAAAGCAACATTTGAGACACTATATATAACTATTCTAGTATTCTAATTTTAAGAAGTGCTGCTGAAGCTGCGGTAATAATTTATTTTGCTCTAGATTAGTCTAGAATTCTAGATGAAAGTGCTGTGCCCCATAAAACGTGCAAAAAATGATATTAAAGTTTTTGAAACTAGACAAGTTATTTTGCAGTATGACAACGTTCAGCTATATCCCATAAAAGGGACGAAGAATGTCATATCTATGTTTTAAGCTGGAAAACATTGTGCCGGACAAAAAATTGTCATTCGGATTATTCATCAGATCTATTATAGGCCCGTTTGGATTACCACTTGTTCCAGTCGCTCCAAATCTCATCTAATACACATTTTAAGACGTACTGCAGTGGAAAAAATTCGAAAAAGTCTTGAAAACTTTATTGATTCAAAACTTTCAAGTTTCTTCCGCGAATGTATTCGTATTTATGTGCCGCGGCTTTAACTGCCCAATAAATGAGGCAAAGTCATAAGAAATAATAGAAATTATTTATTGAACTTGTAATTGATTTTTTGTGAATTAACTTTGTATTTTGTGAAAAAAATGTCGAATTAATTTCCTATTATACACACCTAATACCTATAGGTATTAGGTTCTTATACATATATGTATAAGAACTGTTGATCCTGTTAATAGATGTATATTATAGATCAATGATTATTTTACAAATTAAAATCTATTTAAGACTATTCTCAATCAGTAAAAAAGTAATAAATCAATAATTATATACTATAAATGTATTATTACAATCATAAATATTTAAATTAAAATTTACTTGAATAATATTAAGGTAAATAACTTTGTAAATTGTAGCCTTTTTCTATCTAAACAGTTTATTTTTATATATCATGTCTATTTAATTTTTTCTTTATGGACCATAATAATTGAAAAAATATATGATTTAAATTATGATTATTTATTTTATAAATAAAATATAAAAATAAGTAAAGAATATATAAAGTTCAGCAATATTATTATCTATCTTTATAAAAGAGTTATGTAATAATTGTATTTTTTTAATTTTTTTATTAGAAATACGACCAGGGGATCGATCATGTACTTTTTCCTCTAGGGCGGAAATGTGAAAAGTGAAAAGTTCCATGTGATTATTGCTTTCTATTTAACACCAATAGAAAAAGATAGTTACATGAAAAAATTTTTACTTTTCACGTTTCCGCGCAGGAAAAAGTTATGTGATTGCTGCCCAGAAATTTATATCGAAACTTTTTATTCATTATTTATTATCTTTTATTCTTTTCCAAACGTTTATTTATTACTTTATACAGTTTATACTATACTTATACCATTTCTAAATTGTTATATTTTTTAAATATTTCTAATATGCGTTAATACGTCACCTGATAAGATGGTTTCATTCTGTAATTGAACATATGAATCTCCGGACTGTAAAAAATTTTTTTCATATCTTTCAACGATACCTTGAGCGAACATAATTCCGTGTGATTTGCGTATCTGTCGTGATCATACGCAGCAATATCTAATATCCATTCCTATAAAGCAAAATAATTATCGGAAAAGTGAATCGGAGCAATTTTCCCAAAAAATTTGTTTAAAAATGCAAAATATGTTTTATCCAACTAAAATATTTAGTCTGATACGTTCAACTAAACATTAGTTGGTTTAACTAAACATTAGTTAAATTAACTAATTCTTGATTAAAAAATTTTGATGGTTGACATGAATAAACTATACCTTTTTTAGTGTAACTTAAGTGGACTAATTGTAAGTAGTGAGATTTGACGAAAATAAAGCTTTTTTGGTGGGGGGGGGGGGGAATTTATTAGAAAGAACTTAATTGAAACCGAGGCTTATCCTTTAACACGATGTTGAAAAACAAAAAAACAGTTTGATTTTTTTTTTTTTCAAAAACTAGAATTTGCGTAAACTAATTTTTAGAGAGTTTAGTCCCAAATTATACATATTGGGAACATGCTCAATTTTTTTCAAGTTAATTTGAGTTCCTGTATTTGAGCAGTCATCATTGCAAAAAGAAAAAAAAAGAAACGGAGAAAAATGCGTCCAAAGTTTTTAATGCATATTTTAAAAAAATATTTTTTTGTTATAGTTTATGATCTTAATAAACATTGTGTTAAAGGGACAAATCTCGGTTTCAATTCATTTCTTTGTAATAAATTCTCAAAGAAAGCTTTATTTTCGACAAATCTGACTGCTTATAGTTCTCTTAATAATTGTTGAATCAATCATTGGATCAACAACTATACAAAAGTCCGTACAACCAACCTCGGTGGACCTCGGCTCGTGTGGAAAGTTGAAAACCCGAACCCTACAATGGTGTCCAGAGAACCGACCACGCGAAGTGAGGTCCACCCCACCCTATCCCTGCTTACAGGACGAAACAAGGTTTATCATTGTACGGTTCGGGTTTTCAACTTTCCACGCAAACCGAGGTCCACCTCTACCCACCCTTGCTGCAGGGGGCGAAACCCATCTTTTATGTAATTCATCTTCTTCTTATTATTTTTTTTAACTATGTAATATTTTGTATAATAAAAAATTTACCTTAGCTTCCTGCGGCTTTGTATTTGCAATAATAAAAGTCTCTTTGTATATCGGGTTGGCGGTGTGCCTGATGCCCCTCGTTCGAAAACTATGCAATTTTTGCCGCTTCCTATGGCTCCATGACTGCTTCATAATATTCAATGCAACGTAAGGTTCCAACGTACCGTTGTATTGTTTTGGAGGAAGGCCACACAGCGCCTGTAAAACAGACAAATACGGAATGCGTTTTATTTCTGTTGCATAATTTTATTTCATCCAGCATGTATCGAATCACTTGAATAATAGATCGATGTAAAACATTCTCAATATTTATTTTATCATTGTGACTCGTTCATGCATAAGATGCCAATAACGCACTTCAATACCGATAACAAGCTTCCCGATGATAATGTCATTGCAGGGCGGCAAATATTGTAAGCTGATTGTCAGTTCGGTCGGAAACTCTTTCATCTTTTTATCATTCTTCTGCTTATCCGTATAAATCAAATTCTGCAATTTTCCAGAAACAAATTAATCGCCAAACGACGCGACGACACTAAGACTTATTATTTCATTCAATTTGACTGTGCATAATTACCAGTGTCGAAGAGCACTCCACATTCTTGCATTGAGCATTAGTAGAATTAAGCGAGTCCCTATGAGATTCTGCATTTTCGCTAATAGTACCTGCATAGCATGATATTTGTTTTTATTGTTTCTCTTCAAAAATTAATTTCATATTCGATGATAGACATTGATGATCAAGTTTAAGCTTAAGGTAATTTCCAGTGATTTTTTTACGATACTTGCGATTACATCTTATATTAAATTCCTATCAGATATAAATTTTATCAAAATTAAACTAAATATGTAGATTTAAAATATCTGTGTAACGCGAAGAATGTATCAATTATCTATAAAAAATATTGGCATTTTTCGTCTGAAAATAGACTGAAAATGAAAATTAAATAAAACTTACAGTGTAATGGTAATGTAATGTGTATATCAATTTAAAAATATACTTTTATATTACGACATTCCAATGTAATGTTTAATACATATAAGACAATGAATTAATATTACACTGCCGACCAAAAGTTTGAGAGAGAGACCGCCGCGCATATAAAACTTAAAAATATTCCATTGAAGCGCTACTTAAAAGTCTGACTCATACTTCAGTCAATATTTTTTTTTAATTTAAAAGTAAACAATCATTATATTTATTATATAATTTTGATTAACGAAACATTGTTTAATTCTAAGAAAATGGACTATAAAGTCTTTTTTTCCAAAACTGAGCTGTGGACTATTCTATAAGATTCTAAAGGATGGAAATCTTCCTTTAGAAAAAAAATTGACTTGTAACTTATAGATCACCTAGATTAGTAAAAAAAAAGTGTTTAAATGTAAGGGTAGTTACTTTGACGAAAAAAGTGTTTAACACTCTTTTCACCTTATAAAAAATATTTTTTGTAGAACTTTCAATTATTTTTTACTATTTTTTATTATAAAACAATAAATAAAATAATAGAAATATGTTAAATTATAATGCATATATAAGTTTGAATTTATTTCATATAGTAGACATTTTTAATTAATGGTTTTAATATTTTGGCCACCAGTGTATCTGCATGTACTAATTTGATTCGCAATTTACTTTTGCTGCTCTAATTATTAAAATAACATATTTTTTCAACAAATTTTGCAAGATAATCAATTTGCAAGCTAATTAAAAACGCGTTGAATGAATCGAAACTCCAGTTAAGTTCTCCAGAAGAATAAAGTTTAAATTAAATGCAGCAAAAGATTCATACCATTATTGTCATTTTCATATAGACTCCCGAGTCTCCAAGATCTATAGCTGACGTCACTTAATTTTAAGTTTTTTTTTTCTTGATTCTTCGTTCGTAGAGGCGCGCTCTTGTCTTCTTTACCTGCGGAAAAACATTTCAAGGATGGTATAACTATTTTTGTCCTAGATAGCAACTTAAGTATACATGCTCTCGTGTCCTTCGCTGGATACGGATTTCTACTTTCCTGGTATATATTATTTATATGTAAGACGACATACTTCGCATCTTTACACGATATACAAATATCCTTCTTGCATATTTAGATACTAATTAAGGAAGGTGGTTGCTTAAATGAATATGATAGGAATTAGTTGAAATTTATGGAGGATATTCGTCTATGGGAATCTGCCGTCCATGCCAAAATTGAAGACAATTGTCTGCATGGTTGACGAGTAATTATAATTATTGAAGTTATATAATCTTTTACATATAGGTAATTCGACATAGCAAAAATGTTACGACATCTGTAAAGTAACTCTCGAAAGCATATTAAAAATAAAATTGTAAAAATAAAACAGCATATTGTAACTGTTTCGCGTAAAAGCTATTGAACACCCTACAGAGAGCGTACATTTATTATTAATAAGTATAACTTCAATAATTAATTACTCGACAACCATGCAGACAATTATTGTCTTCAACTTTGGCATGGACGACAGATTCTCATAGACGAATATTCTCCATAAATTTGAACTAAATAATTCTTATCTCATATTGATTTGAGCAACCACCCTCCTTAAGCGATTGTAAATAAATTTTACTACAAAGGTTATTGTATGACGATTATACAATGTCGCGTAGATAAACGTAATATAAATTTAATATAAAAATTTTTTGTACGTGAAAAATATGTAAAGAAGATACAACGGACGTTTCTCTCTAGCAACAATATCGGAACATTATTGTGCATTATGTGTTAGCTAGTTGACGTGTCTAATTACATAACGTTACAGAGGAAACGAAAGAAACAACATTTACCCAGCTGCATATATGTGCCGTGCATAGTGCAATGGCGTAATTTACGCATATTCATGAAGTTGCTATGAAGAAATTTATAGTTGAAAATTATGTAATTTAGGTATGAAAAATATTATTATCAAAGTAAGTGCGATCGCTGACGTTTGACGTGATACAAGTTTATCACAAAGATACAAAGAGTGTAAGTAATTATTTTATCTGTGTAAAGTTAATCCCTTTTTAAAATTATAAAAAAATTAATAGAGTTCTGGATATGTTCCCCGAAAAGTATTCGAGTTCTCAAATGGTTTTAGAATGAGTTCTATCATTTAAACTATTTAAAGCAAAGAAAACCTTTCTTGAAAAAATAATTTTTAACTAATTGTAAAAGGTGGCTAACTATGAGGCGTTCCTCATTAAAAATTTCACTTTACTTCTAGAATTCTTAGAAACTTTTAAATAGTTCTACAGTTCTATATAAGTTTCTGAAAGAATTATGTTTAAAATATCCCAAAAAATAATTTCGAAAATTTTGATCCAAAAGTTAAAAATTCTTTGTTTTAACATCTCGTAATTTAATTGTTAAAATTTATATAAAGAATTATTCATAATGCTAAACAAAATACCGCATTTTCGAAAAAAAATTTTAATTCTTGAGTACTTGGAAAATTTTGATCCAAGAAAATTGAAAAATCTAAAAAATTTCTTCAATCTTGGTTTTAGCGCCTAAGGTAATAAGAATATAAGTTAGAATTCATAAAAAACTGTTCAAAATTTTAATCATCTTTTTGTAATTTTAAAAAAGTAAAGCTATAACTTCACAAAGATTGTTTTGCATTAAGTACATTTGTGTATACGTATACTTCATATAGCACGTGCGCACACTCGCAGAAATATAGAGTACGCATACGTGACTGGAAAACAAAATATGAAGAAGAGAAGGAGAGAAAAAGAGAGAGAGGAAGGGAGGAGGGAGGAGGAGAAAGAGAGAGAGAGAGAGAGAGAGAGAGAGAGAGGGCAGGAGGAAGAAGGGGATATCATGTGCTTTTATATATACAATATTATACACATACGCCAAGTATATACTTTGTATTGAGAATACCTATATACGATTATCCTTGATTGGTGTCAAATTCGAAGCTAATTCTATTCTTAGACATTACTATTGATGTAGGAACCTGCATCGCTCGCGAATAATTGAATACATTTAATACAAGAAGAGTTTATTTAAGTGCAGACGATGATCTTACTTTGTTTCCTGAAGCATTCGTAGCCGATGCAACCAGGCATGAGGAAGCAAGCGAACAGGAGCAACGCGATCAGGATGATTCCCACTCCTATCGCAATTACAATTAGCAGGCCCCACGGGCCAAGGAAATCTTTGTACGACATTCACTGAGATTTATTTGAATTCGAATTCAAAGCTACTTGTATTGGCGCAGTCAGCAAGTAAACACTCGTAACAGCGACACAACGGAACGAAGAAATGATTGATGATTTGAGCGAAACAAGGTGGAATCCTTGATAACACACACGTTTCAGTTATTATAAAAATGTTCAATATTTAATTAGCGTTTTATCACGATATATCTGAAGATTATTAAGTATAATATTATGCAGATAGAGTAAGGAAATGTTCATAATGGAAATCATGTCGGGTCGAACATTACTCACGTCAAAAAACACTCACGACAAAACATTCACGTCTTATATTTGTTGCCACCACATTTTTTTCCGATGTGTCTCTTATGACATAGAGACATGAAAAATAAACCGCTTTAATGTATACATACACCGGCACTCCGGATAAGAAACACTTGTGTCAATAATTCTCGGCTACGTCCGAACAAGAACTGACGAAACGAACGATAACGCACGATGATAAAGGAACACCGTCGAAACATATTAGAATATATATCCACATTTCATTTCCATAGAACAGCTGATCGGAAAAGTAACGATTCGAAACAACATACAGGGTATTCCAAACATTTTTTTCTTAGCGAAAATGTCGAACGAAATTATCATTTATTGCAAATTTTGTGTCATATATTTTTTTGCAATTAACATCTGAAACATAAGAGGTATCATATTAATTTTTCCGTTAAATTCATTTTAAGTTTAACTTATCGATAAAAAATTTTTCACATATAAAACATAAAAATGTATATAATTATATACAAAATATATTTTCCATATGTTTTCTTTCTCCTATATAATATCTGTTCTATTATACAGGAAAAATAATAAAAAAAATTAAAAAATAATTAAAAGGATAATTTTCACATTATTTTTTATTTTTTATTTTTTTTAAGTAAAGTTTGAGGAAATAAGGAAAAATTGCCCACATGTATAATCATACATAAATGTAATAATTTTGTATGTAAAATATGATTATACTTATATATAGAATATTGTATAGTCTTATAATCGCGCGCAGTTTTACTTTTTGTAAAAAAAAGAAAACAATGCAAAAGTTACTTTTTTTATTTTTTTTTAATTGTTTTTCTTATTACTTTTTGATATATAGTATAGACAAAGTTATACGAGAGAAAGAAAACATACATAGACATATTTTACACATAATTATGTACATTTATGTACATTTTTATATAAAAAATTGTTTACCGGATGAAAATGATGCAAGAATAATTATAGCACTTCGAATTTTTTGCGTTATATCACGCACATCGAGGATTTACTACGTACACCAGTTTCGCAAGAGTAACGTGGCAAAATAACGAGTTTTATGCGCGGAAGCAGAAGTCACGGTGCCCAGGATCAGCGATAACATTCGCGACTACGGCCGAGACTGCCGGAACATATGCTTAATATAACAAGCACAGATATTCGCACACCGTTACACGTATATCATATTACACATCTCACATTACATACACGCAAACGTTAATTTCGATAACGATTAATGTTAACATATCAAACATTATCTGAGATATTTAACAATCCGCGAGATTGGTTACATCTGCCTTTTTTTTAAATTCCGCTGGTGTAAATCTTTTAATTTTAGGATTACATCGTTGACCTTGTAACATCGGTATTCCTGGATCTTTCTTGTATCGAGGTAATCTCGCGTTCACAAATCGTTAAAAAAATGCTCGATTCGTGAACATCACTTATGACGGACAATCTGGATTTGATTGTCGATTGCGGCGCGATGTCGATCACGCCGCGATCTCATGTGACGTTAGAACTCGCGACTCTCGCGAACTCGCGGTTTGCGTCCGTCACACTCGCGAGCACGAATTTGCAACTGCACTTGACCCGGTAGCCGACTTATTCGATTAAATATTCCATTTTTTGCTTCGCACATGCACAGACGTGACGGGCCCGTACGTGGCCGTTTGCGTCCTCGGTTAAGTGAACAATATGCACAATATGACGTCGAGACGACGATAGGCGTTCCCCTTAGGAAGTTCTACGCCTCTGACTGTCTTGCCGATAGTTCGCGGTAGGTGAGTAATACTTACGCTGCATTGGCTACCTCGATTGGAAACTTACGACTATACACATTTGCAATTTTAATATCAAGAATTCTATACGGACAATTATTGAATTCTTCTTATCCTCTATAGAAATAGTTCTCAGCCTTCTATAGCAATAATTCTTTATTTAATTGCTAAAATCAATTTTTTAAATATATATTTGAATAATGGATGAAAAATTAGTCCAACGTAAAATAAAATGTTAGAATTTGTTTGGTTTTTAATGTGCAGCTTGCATTAGGTATATTAAATAACTTTAATATGTATTGTTTTAATTCGAAACGTTTGAACATTTCTTTACTAATTTTCTTTTTAGAAAAATAAGAAATTTAAGATTGTCGTTGAAATATAAGATTATAATTTAGTATTGTTTAATTTGTATATACAAGACATATCCGCTAATTAATTTCTTTTGTCATTACGCATTTGTCTGTAGTACTTTAGAACTGGAAAAACTCAATTTGCGAAGCATTGTAGAGCTTCGTAGCAATATTTTTATGCGAATAACACAGTTCAACAAAAAATTATTTTTTTCGAGTACAAGAATAAGGGTAGGTATTCATCGTTTCTCGTATTTTTTTCAATGCTGAATACAATCCCGTTTACACAATTGTTCTATCATGTTACCCTTAATTGTTATCATATTACATATCACTTTTGTTTTACTTAATATCTGCAGTACTTTAGAACTGGAAAAACTCAGTTTGCGAAGCATTGTAGAGCTTTGTAGCAATATTTCTATGCTAATAACACTGTTTAACAAAAAATTATTTTTTTTTAGTACAAGAATAATTGAGTAATCGTTTATCGTACTTTTTTCAATGCTGAATACAATCCCGTTTACACAATTGTTCTATCATATCGTAATTTTGAAAAAATTTTGATTAAAAAAGAACTTCATCTTAGTGTATTTCGAGAACGAAAATAATTTCAGAAATGCAGACAATAAGACGTCGACTCGTGACAACATCATTTGCTTCATATAAGAATTCTACAATTTGTTGTTACAAAATGAGACCGCGTCGTGGAAGGTGGATTACATCAGAAAATACCATACGGTTCGCAGAATTAAGATTAGACCCCTAACAAAAATGCGTGTAGATCTATTATCATGCAATATAGATATATACTGTAACCTTTGTCTCTATCCTTGTTTATATCATCTTAAGATCGTACTTAAGACGGTCTAAAATATAAGATTCGACTATGAATACCGGTCTAAAAAATTTATTATATTGATTATAATTAAAAAGATATTTGTAATTATACACGGAGAAAATTTTATAGTAAATATTACTATGGTGTCGCACTAGCTGCGGACCATCGAGGAATTTCAAGTTAAAATACTATAATTATTGTTTTAAAAACGATTAAATAACGTAATTTTTACCATAAACATAGTAATTTAACTTAAAATTCCTCGATGGTCCGCAGCTAGTGCGACAGTTAGGGTTATAACTATAATTAATATAAGACAATAGATTCTACATTAATCATGAATAGATATCTTTTTTTCTTCGAAAATTGTTTTTATATCATTGAAGCTGTATCAAAATTTTCCAAGTAATACTTAATAATTATTTCGTGGTTTATTATTAATATATACCATATTTGTTGTATTTTAAAAAACCCATACGTGTACGCCTATGCATCACCGCATCGTGTATGACTTAGAAGGACAGAAGTGTGAATGCGTGCATAAGTGTGTATAACAATGAGGAAACCACGTGCTCTTCCTATCACTGATAAGAGGACGTAAATATGCGCATACGTAATGCGAGTGTACATTTTGTACAGAAAAAAAATACATATATATGCATATATAGATTACCTATATATATATATACATATAATAGATGAACTGTCTGTTTCAACTGATAATTTCTTTAGCAAACGTAACATTTTTTCTTAGTAAAAATTTCAAAAGAGGTTGTTATTTATCTCAATTTTTTAATTTTTAGCATCATTCATTTTATTAATTACACTTTGAATTATGATCCTGTGATAATAAGCTGCATTTTAAATGAGTTGAAAATGTAATTTATTTATTTGACTCCTTCAATTTAGTTAATAAAAAAAACCTGTTATCCATCGTAATATAAAAATTATTGGTATCTTGACTTAATTTTTACTACAAAAAAATTAACTTTTAGTTTGACTAGTTGTAAGAAATCTTCAGATACAAGTTACAAAATTTTTTAAATTATTATCATTTTTCAGCAATTGTCCGGTTGAAAACCGAGAGGTAGCTAAAAAAATTTTTTGAAAAGATTGAAAAACAAATAAATTTTTTATATAAACTTTTTATCAACCTAGTATAACCAAAATTGTAATTAAATATGGAATTATGTTTAGAATAATATTGTAATAATATATACTAGTAAGATATAATAAAAAATATCTATAACAAAATTTTTAAATCTGTTGTCTGCATGACATTGTTACTATCCTTCCGAGGCTCTCTATACAAAGGGATTATATGGGAAAGCAAATGAATTGTATTGCGTTCCGTTATTGCGACATACACTAATCTATGTTTATCTCCGCTACCATACCGAAGTAGAAAGTTTTATTTTTATTACATGACTTTGAATCGAGTTGTATGTAATTCAGTTTGCCGTTTTCCGGTGCAATTTTCTAATAACGACTATTTAAAGCGTACCCATAACTCGCACGATACGTCGTGAAACGGCATCCTTGACTTGCCGTTTGTTGATCATAGATCAGTGGCACGAGGCCGTCCAGCGATCATTCGTTACTATCACATCAATCCTATTCAAATTATAATTACGATACGTGAAACCTGTATGGCAAACCCGATGAAGATGGAACGAAGTGAAAACCGTGCACAAGAAAAAGAGAGTTCAACCATAGGAGCCAATATCGACACTTGGTTTGGCCGCCGGTGACCTCGATTCCGAATCCGCTGTCTGTCCTTTCACTTCAAAAGCGAGTCTCAGCGAGCACTCTTTCTCGCACCGGCTTAATGTCGAAGACACGCGTATTTCGTAAAGAAATCTTCAGTTCACTTCTAGAACACCGATTAGCGAGCAGTTGCCCGTCGCCGGTGCTCCTAGATTTCACTTTCATGTAAGTTTAGTTTTGAGAACGAACGCGCGTGTCTGTCGTTGACGCACGTTTTCCACATTGTGACGGATTCTCTTTACTTATTCGACACAGTCATTAAATAGTGTTTCTTGAGGAAGCAACCGTGCAAAGTGAGAATAATGTGAAAATAATATAATAATATAAATATATATAAAGAAATAGACTTCGTAATATGGAAAACCAATAAAAAATTATTTAATGTATATTGTGCTTTCTTGAGAGAACGTCCAGTAATGGCAGTAATCTGACTCTTAAATTTTACTTTTCCACCATTCTAAGTGAGTTTAGTGAAGTTACCAGACTGATCAACGACTCAGTAAAATATTTTTCATATAAAAACATTTAAATATATATAATTATATATGTAAAAAATAAGTCAATATATGTTTTTTTCTCTTCTCTGTAATCTCTGTTTGTACAGGAAAAATAATAAGAATTAAAAAATAAGTAAAAAGATAGTTTTTGTATTGTTTTTTTTTTTTCTAAAAAGTAAAATTTGAGGAAATAAGAAAAAAAATTATAGAAGAGAAAAAAAATATATGAATTTTGATATATAATTATATATATTTATATTGTATATAAGGTAACTAGAGGGAATATGCCACACTCAACAAAAATTTGATTGTTTTCTTATTTTTCGTTCTGTTTGAAGTATCTTTGCTCGCTTCGCTCATGCGACCAACTTCACACTCATTCAGAATCGACCACTTTTCCCACTAGTTGTACAATATACTATTAGACGATGAAAAGATCGTATTTTGTCCTAAGAATTAATCTTTGCTCGTCGTGTTCAATTATAAAACAGCCATGGAAGTTAAATCACGCGCTTGTTGAATATATAAAATTGGTGCGCACGCAGAGATTTCCCTTTCAAAATGATGATCGTGAAGAGAGCGATTTCGCAGCTGCTGCTTTTCATAGTTTTCTGTGATCGTAAGTATTATTTTTTTTGTATTTTGTATGCAATATCTTTTACCCTTTCCAGGAAAACAAAACTAAAAAATGCAAAATAAGATATAACTAAAAAACAAACATTTATTAAGATAAAATTATGTTAACAAAAAACTTGGCCGACTTCACAGATTTTTTTCACTTATACTACCGACCAAAAGTTTGAGAACATTAATTGAAAATGTTTGCTATATGAAATGAAATTAAACTTATTATATAATTTAACATATTTTTATTATATTATTCATTGTTTTATAATAAAACAAAAAATAATATAAAATATTTGAAAATTCTATAAAAAATATTTTTTACGAGATGAAAAATGTATTAGACGCTAAAAAATATTAGACACTTTTTTCGTCAAAATAGCCAATCAATGTAATCTAATTATGAGTTTCTTTTTTTATAAAAGATTCTTTTTCACCTATATTCTAAAATAGTGTAGGTATAGTTCAGTTTTGGAACTTTATGACCATATAATCCATTTTTGTTGAAATTAAGCAATGTTAACTACAACTATGCTAAATATTTACTCTGCCTATTTACTTTCAAATTAAGAAAAAATATTAAGTATTTAAGCACTGACTCGAACTTTCGAGTAATGTTTCACTAAAACATGTAAAATTTTTAAACGTGGTCTCAAACTTTTGGCCGGTAGTGTATGTCCGGTAGTGTAGTATATATTAATAACTGGTAATAACTGGTAAACTGGTATAAAAATAAAATAAAATTCACAGATGTAAGGAGTTTGATTATACCGGAAGAACTTCCAACGATCCTCTCACTAATATATTCAAATATTCCACCAATTAAGAAAGGTAAATAAATCATAAAATGAAATTGTTAAAAATTTTATTTAGTAACATAATTTTTGTTAGCTTATATAAATTTCTCTAAAACTCTACAGGAACCGATTCCAGACTTGGCGTGGGTTTTCGATTAGGTGAACACGCGGATTTTCAAATTCTCGTTGAACTGGGACCCCAGACCGAGACAGATCCGATAGGTACATCCAACGACGCTAAAAGGCGACGAGATGTAAGAATCTGCATAATTTGCATAGTAAACCGTTATATTTATTTAATAAAAATATATTTTTATAAATAGGCGGCATTTAACGCTGCGATGAAAGGAGAGCTAGGACCATTGGCACAAGCGGTGGCTAAATATCAAATCGAGCGTAAAATCCAGAAGGAAATGGATAAACTCAAAGTAATGGAGGAGAAACTTAAAAAGCTTCAAATAGAGGATACAAAAGATCAAGATGTAAATAAGAACTTATATAGTTTCAATTTTTTAATTTTAAATAATTTAATAGATAAATTATTTTGTTACAATTGGTATTTAATTTAATTACATATCGTATATAATTATTTACATAAAATTTAATAATTTTATGATTTTAAATAATTCTTCACAAAAATCCTAAAGAAGTGAGCTCGCTTCTATGTAGGACATACACACCATATAAAAAATTTTCGATTAATAACAGTGAATGTTTTAATTTTCTTAGACTGTTTCCAGTAACTGGTTAACAAAGTGGAGGAAGGAGATGTCACAATTGTCAAAAGATAATATGCCATTAAGTTCTGCTCAAAATGGAGATGATAAGATAATTCAACAAAGAATAGGAAAACCGCTGGTTAAATCCATCGTTTGAAAGGATAAATTGAAAAAGCTAACTATATAAACTATAATATATTTGTCTATTATATATATGTATGTACATATGTGCATGCGTGCAACACTCTCATGCGTAAAAGTCGCAAATATGAATAACAAGGAAACATCAGTATAAATCTAATGTTGGTTGAGGAAGTGCAGATAAAATATGGAATAAAAAAATAGAATAATTTGAAATATACGATATCTAGCCTATATATCAAAAGTTTTACAACCTATTAGCGGACAGTACTGGAATTACTAACTACTAATAAACCCTTAATAATTTAACGTACAAAGCAGCAACGTAGTACGAAGTGTCATGTAGTTAGTACGTGTAATTTAAGATTTTGGATATGTCGCTATAATACTTGCGTAAGGTTATCTTATAAATTTTTATTTTACATCAGTCAATCTATTTCACAGGTTCTTAGTCGCTTTTTGTTACATGTAAAAACTAATTGTAAGATATAGTGTAATCTATTGAGCAAGTGTCATACGGCGTATATTAATTACTATTATGTAGGTACAATAAAGAGGTTAAAATGGCAATGTCGGGTAATGCGGAATAGTTTGTATAACCCCACTACTTTTTATAAGTAGGTATTGCATTTTATACTCAATATACTCTATTATTGTTTCTTTCTTTCAGGAGTAATATCTATAATTATATATATATATATATATATATATATATATATATATATATATAATTATTCATATGCATTTTTATATAAAATTTTTTTATTGAAAAAATACGTTTATTACGTGTATTAAATTTCACGTGATTTTCGTGTCGTTGACATAAATGTGGTGAACTGTTTCTGCAATACATTCACTCTTACATTTATTTTCTACATTCTGCACAGTTCCAGTTTATCCAGTTATTTCATTGTGATTTATGCACGCAACTTCTTTGAATTTAAACAATTTCGATTGATCGTTAGTCAAAGTTTTTTATTTAGAATAACTCTTATTATTTCTATTCTCAATTAATAATTTCTTTAGAAAAATATATTTATTCTAATTTAACTGAGACATTACTTCACCATGGTGAAGTAATGTCTCAGTTAAATTAGAATAAATATATTTTTCTAAAGAAATTGCATCTTTTCCATCTTTATCATCGTATAATATGTGAAAATAAATGAAAAAAGCAAGTTTAAAACAATGGGGCAACTAACTTTTATAGTACAGTCCTGAGAATGATGCATCGCTGAGTTTAACACGATGAGCATTCCACGTCGCATATGTTGAAACACAAAGCGCATGCGTCTCTAATCAGATCAGGGAGCTATCTCTTCTAGTCACTCGTCGCTCCTTCGCCGTCTTTACGTTCTACAGGGTACAGTATACGGTTGAGTGAGTACAGTCCTATAACAAATTCGAACACATTGTCAATCGATTACTTCGTGAATCATCCATTCGGAGTGAGTAAATTAGAGGAAACACGGGCCGCGGTGCGAAGTTCGCAGAAGAGACCTTTACAAAACGTTGTGCAATTGATTGGAATTTGACATTGGAATTTTAACTTAAATTACGTCGATTGCGGCCGGAACATATGTGAGATTACGAGCGATAATCAGTTAAGTGAGTGTGAGTGACGTTTGCGATTAGTTGCGTACGGACAATTTCGAATTACGTACCACGTATTTTACGGCCGAAGGCAAAACTGCCTTTGTGCGGCTGGCGAAAAGCGGGCTTTCGTTTTCTGTCACGCATTTTGCCTCGTTCTTGTTTCTCGCATCGGATCGTGTATTCTGGAACTGCAAATTCGCGGTAGCGAATTCTCCACATTGCAGGAAAATTCTTCGAGGCGTTCGCCTGAGCATCGATCTCATACCACATTTGACTTTTGGCTGATCGAACAAAATCAACAAGATCGTGGTTTGGATTCGCTCGAGCAACAATGACAATTTCATCTGACAACGTAAGAGGATAAAAGCAAAGACTTATTACTTACATACGCTACTTAAAGAATACATACATATAGAATATTTTCGTTTTGTTTTTGCTTATTTATCTTTAAACGTCACGATGGACTACGAGGTACCTCGCGACTTACAGATGCCTTATCTACGGGCGATTCAAAAGATACCGGGTGATACCGCTGGTGAAAAATTGAGTTGGATCGGAAGATTGACTTTACACCAGACCAGCGAAAGTCTTGAACAATTTCCACCAGAATTGCTGCCTATACTGCGCGTAGAAACTGCTGTCAAGAAGAAGATGCACGAGGATATAACGTCGGCGCTCAAGTGTGAAGATTCGACGATAATAAATCGGGCTTTTAAGGCTTCCTGGTTCTTCGATGGCAGCCACAAGAAGATCGTTGACGTTTCATATTTCTGCGAACGTCTCTTCCCCTACGTTTCCGTGAATACAAGGACGCGTATTGTGCTTACACTCGCACATCGATTATCTGGCAAGAATCCAATTTTCGCGCAACAATTATTCACAGCAGTGTCATCTATTTACGGTATTCAAATCGCTTACCCGTTGATCACGGCTTGCGATGAAGCTTTTGCTTATAAAACGATCATAGAGAAGGAACTCGTGCTGCCAGTAGAAATTGCTAAAAAGATCTTCCGCAAAAATCCGGATTTTATAGTGCGTTTTCTCAAATTATTGAAACCCCGCGAACTAAACGCGACTGAGCGTACTCCTTTCGCGATCGGCATCGATAGATATAAGTCTTTCCTGCCTAAATTAATAAAGAAGCGACTGGAAGCTTTCGTAGTACTGTGCGAGATACATGAGACAGATCCGCCGAATATTGTTTTGAGTAACACGTGTGCCGAAATATTTTTGAAAAAAGCTCAGAAATATTTGATAAAGAAACCGCTTTTATACATCCGCATCTTACCACCCAAAAAGATCAACGAGGATTTAATGGAAAGCATATTTCCAGGTCTATTGCCCGCAGAAATTTCTTCCTTCAATACAGATAGCGTGCTCGCTTACTTAAAGCATTTCCCACGTGATAAAAAATACGATTTGCTTTGTAAATCCTACAAAAATAAATATCATGCTGATCTTCTCGACGAGACGAAAAACGTGACGCCTGCTTTATTACAGTTATTACCTGCAGAGGAGCGGATCAAACATGCTAAAATCAACATCGAAAAGCAGAACTTATTATCAGAGGAGATTCATTATGAATATACGATGGATTACAAAAGAGCTTGGATTTGTTATTTACCTGTTAACGAAGCTATACCGGTTATCAAGGAAAAAATAAATAAAACTGCAAGTGAATCAAATAGAGTTTGCCTTATTTTACAAATGATTTACGTTTGTAAGGTTAATGAGGATGACGATGCGTTGTCCAATACTTTGACATATTTCTTAAATAGACATAAAAACGAAAATTCTTGGCTATTCGAACGAGTGTTCGATGAACTCTTGCAAATATACGATGTACCTCATTTAAGCGAAAAGCAGATCTCTCTTGTACTGGACATTGTCCGATTATATCATGTAAAAAATGAATTCGCACCGAAAGAAATACTCTCAGCTATAATACATTTCAAACTTATACACAATATGCCAATTGAGGAGTTGATTAACATGCTTCTAGGAGATAATCGATGGTACGTAAACTTCAACATACTCGAAGAATATCCACAATATGAGAGACAATGCCTCGTAACTTTTGCAAATGCCATTCAAAAAAGGTCTTTCAAAAAGCTTGATGAAAAAATATACAACCTTTGCAGCTATGTTGCAGCGATATATGATTTCAACGATAGATGTAAAAAATCGCGCGTCAAGATAAAAGAAATGACAATTAGAGATTATCCTTGGCTAATGGATGCTATTCGCGAAGCAATACGTTCCGAAGAAGATACTTGGAATGTAAAAGACATATTGCAGAAGAATGAGTCAGAACTGTACCGTAATTGGTTCCCAGAAAACATCGCAAATGTAACATCAGGCGCGGCGCTCGCTTTATTGAATCGAGATTTACAAAATATACTGAAGAATTGGGAAAAATATTTAGCTGACTGCATGAAGAACTGCCATATTAAACGTGTACAACGCTTCGTCAAGGCCACGCGTTGGTATAAAGACTTACCCATTAAATTTGCTGATCGTTGCATGAATTATATCTACGATAAAAATACAGATGAAATATCGTCTAGTGTAGTTATCCTGGCCATTCTACTTCATGGTGATGTGGTGACAAAACTAATTGATCCTCTCACACCTACGGAAACAACGATAGATACTAGTGATCCGAACGCCAAGGATAATTACAAGATCGTGCGGAATTTACCATTGAGCATGAGACTTTCCAATCCACCAGTACCTCTCGATCTCGTAGTTAGATTGTGCGAAGGAGATTACTTATCAATAGCTCTAATGACACTAACAAACGTGAGTAGGCGGACTTCTTTGCCGAAAGTGATATCAATCACACAAAAGTTAATGAGTATGCGCGTGAGCACGCGAAAACATGGAATTAGGCTGATGTATTTAGTAGCTTCGATGCATGAACTTACAGATTTTCTCCAGAAAACATGGGCGATCGAGAATCATCATTCAGTACGACAAGTTTTGTTCAAGGCTTTCCAGAATTTCTTCCTTACAAAGCCAAGTCCCGAAACTTGGTCCCTATATTGTCAAGCTATGTCGACGTTGAATCTTAAGGATGAAGATTTGCTTTCGGAAATAGAGTTATTTCCTGAGATCCCCAATGAATACATCGCGAAATACCTCGAGCTATGGCTTAAAACGATAGACAATCTTCAAAGACTGGACGTCCAAAAGAAAAACAAATACATTGTCAATTACTTGGCAACGATCACTGCATCCGTTTTCAACTTGCTACCCGAAGAATTTTCTGAGAATATACTTCGAAGATTTTTATTCCACATCGATACTAATGTGTCCGAGGCAGCGAGACGATTTACAATAGCGTATATTTTATCAGAGGATAAGGATAAACATGCAACACGCATCAAAGTATTTGCCGATGTCTTCCACAACGCAGTGACCACTTATTGGAACGTGCCACATCCTAAAAAATTACGCTTCCATCCAATCAACAAAGCTGTGCGTTTATTTGTGGATGATTTTGTTGTTAGCTACGTTGATAAGTCTTGCCTCAATAAGTCTATTAACCCAAAGATCATCGATAATATGCAAACGATATTTTTATCTGTCTTATCACCTAGGCAGGAAGCAAGGTCTTATTTGCTATTGGTGTACGCGAAGAAGTTACAAGAATGCATATCGACCAAGACTTCCTTTGGCCTAAGACTCGGTCAACAGTTGCACGAATTAACCGATGTCTTCTCGTCGTTATTAGTTTCGTTTATGACCGAGGTTCTCAAATACTTTCTAAGCCGCGTATATAAACATTCCGACTTGGAAGAAGTCAAACTTAGTGTCATAGAAGGCCTCGTTGAAGCTGGTAATACGGATTCCTGTTTTATAGCTGTGACAATGTTACCGTCGACAATCCAGACGAAACACGTGGCAAGATATGATCGACTCATCGAAAAATTCCGAGAAATGGAGGAGCCTACTATCACCATTTTATACGATCATTTAAACGAAACGGATTTGAAAACTATTGATTAAATGAATCAAAGGAACGAACGAATGATTTTTATATACGTATCTTCCGTGATAATATTTTACTATGATCAAGGCCACGTACGGTAGTGTTTCGCGCCAAGTACACGCGCAGCGCGAGACCGCCGTGACTTCTTTTACGCGAACGCACGAGTTGCAATATAATATTAACGCCTTATCATATAAATTGGTAATTGAATTGTATTAAATGTACCTTTAATGTTAAAGTGAAACTATAATTAATGCTCGTTTTTTTTTAAATAGAATAATTATTGAATTTTTATTAAAATATTCTTTTTTATTATTTTGGTGATATACGCCTAAAGTTTTTTCTTTCTCTTGGCAAACGATTAATTTCAAATGTTTCTCGAGGAAATAAGTGCATATTATAAAAGTTCTTTTAGTTCGCCTTGTATAAGGCGGATAAAATATATATATATATATATATATATATATATATATATATATATAGGTATATATTTAGATTTTTATAGCGATTGTATAATATATGACTAAAAGCAATGCGAGTTATACATTAAAGATCTTTTTAAGCAGTTTAAATAAATATCGTATTGCACAGCGTGTATCCACACATTTGCCTCAATTATATTATATATTATTTAATATGCATCAATACATTATTTATTATTATTTTTAAAGCAATCAAACAAATGGTGGATGCATTCTTTGTAGAGTACGATGAGACTTTTTTTTAACAAATAATCCTCTAACATCTTCCCTAAAAAACATTTTTATAAAATATACGATTTAAGGATTTCAAAGGCAGTAGAAAGTAGTAGAAGCTTTTCTATTCTAAAATATGCAGTCCTGAAACTGATTTCAAATAAATTTGTACAATATTTATGTGTCCCTGTTAGCATCAATATATAATATTTATCGTTAGATAAATATATCGATGTAAAGTATTTTATCTTTATTAAAAATAAAATTATCAAATTTTTGTAAAATTTTCAGAATCGGCATTCTGATTAATTCGCTTTTTGGAATGCTAATTTTATTGTCCGCGTACTGGCCACTGGTAATCGTTCGTTTCATTCAAGATTTAGGAGAGATAAGCAACATCTCGAAAATCCCTTATTCTTACCTTTATGACACAATAATATAATAGTTTGATTGAGATTCGAGAAGAGCGAGCGAAGATGAGAATGTGTGATGTTTCGGGATCGCTGTTGTTCAACTACATACTTTGCTACTTGCAAGCAACTTTTATTCGTTCGTAAGTATAAAGTTTAGGAATTAACATTGAAAAAATTTGATAAAAAAATATACATATTTATAATTACAAAGCCATTATTATTTCCCTTTTATTTTAGTTCTTGTTTCTTACAATATGCATTGTCTTAAAAAACTTTGATTAATAAAATAAGAGTCTATGTATTCGCAAAGACAAATTTCTTACATTAAGGATTACTGATACTGATTCGTTTGGGTATGAACGTTTTTTGATTCCACGGGTGTTTTCTCTTCTCCCTAGGAATGGATCAATCCCTCTTGCAGGGTCTTATTGTACCTTGCACACACGCACTGCATGGTGATGAAGTGGATACCGCTTAACGAATAGAGCAGGATGGGTGTTCTTGTCTATGCCGGTAAGCTCATTCAATACAATTTCTTCCTTCTTTATGTAGGCGATTTATCGCGTATACCAATCAAGTTGAGAGCTAGTTCGCCGCACAAAAATCTTCCTCTCTGTTTCTGGAGCATTTCGAGTCGCTACTGTGCGCGCGCTTCTTGCTGCGGCGAGATTTGTAGATTATAAACTGTGATTCTTTTCAATTTTTTGAATTTATATCTTTTTTTTTAACCATTTACTCTCACAAGCTTTTTTTTTGTGATAAAAAGCAAAAGAGCATGAGAAGGATTGGACACCTCTAATGACGATCACTAATCACATTTTCTTGTATGTTTCTCTCTTCCCATCAATAGGCACACAGTTCAATGCCATTGAACAGTTTATTGGCCAATTGGCAATTAGGCAATTGGCCATGTATTTTCCACGTGTTGGGCCTTATCAGTAGCCTTATCTGGTGTATTTCTCATATGGGTCTATGAGGATTCCGACCAATCATAATCTGCAGATCTCTCTGAAATAGCACTGGCATTTCCGTGAGTTTCTCTCGCATTTCTTCGCTGTTAATTAACCGAATATTTATATCAATTTATCACATTAATCAAATTATTTATCTTTGTAATCTATCGCCTCTTATAATAATAGTCAATAGATCTCTTTTAATAGCAAAGCTGGGAAGACTAATATGCTTTCTTCTTTTAGTCATTGCCTTTCGTGTCATGGAAGTCCATATATTGGAACTTTGCTATCATGTTTTTGGCTATCTTGATGACGTACATGAGTCAGAATTATGGATACGAAAAGTTGATGATTCAACTTTTTATAACATTTATAAAACGGATTCTCCATTTCAGTTTCTAGAAAATGGGTATATAATATATATATATATATATATATATATATATATATATATATATATATATATTATATCAATATATATTATATATTGATAAGTGATATATTAATAAGTAATATATTTAAATTGGAGGGAAAGGAATTTTCCCACAGTTTCTCGCATCACAAAACTAATCGTCGTTTATCTGTATTTCAGAATGGTATCTATTCGGCACTTCCATATACTTCCATACTATTATTTTCAACCATCTCAAGCAAAATGGAGGATCGTGTTTATGGTCTGTTATAGTAAAATTATATCTTTCGTGCGACATTGTATCCAATTTTCTGGCCAAAGGCAAGCGTGAGACAATCCAAATATATAAGGATGACATAAATGAGAATAATCAACTGGAGGGTGTACGAATCGTGAATGAGAGTTTTGACATTGAATATTTTATCGATAAGAGTTAGTAATGATGCGAGAAAATTGACACTGATGATTGTTTAATATTTTTATTAATTTTTCGATAAATTGAAGTTCATGGCAAATATTTATAAATTAGATTTTCACAACTTCTAAAGCATGTTTAATACATTGTGATACATACGGACTGTTTAAATAATGGCAACATATTTTACATTGTCCCAGATAGCCAATAAGTCTGTCGAAAACAGATTTTGTAAAATCTTGCTACAAATGTTGTTGACAAGAAGCTAGGGGATACAAATTTAATACAGAATTTAATTTAACAAATAATGTCGACAAAATGCTAGCAAATATGTAACAAAATCTGCTGACATAATTTGATAGCAAATTGCCAACAAAATACGGCATCTTCTAATAAATTAGCTAATTTTTCTTAATTGTTCAATGAATTGCCCGTCATTATTTACCTGTCATTTATTTAATCGTTGTTTGTGCTAATTTACGATTAATAATAATTCCATGAAATGTACGAATATTACCGTGCGGATAATCTGTTGACAAAAATATCACCATTAATTGCGGGGATGCGACTGGATATGGATAATCAACTTCTACGATTATTCATTATTTCAATAAATATTTGCAAATACAAATTCAATTAATACTTCTAAATCAACATTAATTATTAGCGATAGTAATTTAGAGGAATTAGAAAAATGGAAATAATATATAATATAGTTACAAAAATTATAGATATAAATATATGTGTATAAAAAAATATAAATATATTACATATTTATATATATAAATGATATATATAATTTTTAGTTTTTTCGATTATATTTCGATTCTGAAACAGGTAGCACTGTAGGTGGGGGGAAGATTCTCCCTGTATTAGGATAGATTCTGACAATACGCCACGCCAATGTGGTGACGATTTTTGATTGGTCTCGTCATATGTTTCAGCTAAGTTAGTGAGAGTGAGACAAGCTGTAAGTGGGAGTGAGACAAAGCTATAACATTTGGCTGTACATGGCGGCGGTTTGTCCTAACTCTTATTATAGGAACTCTACATGTCACCGACTCGTGAGAATTGGCGATGCAAAGATTTGTGGTGTTCTTCTTCTGCAGTGGCAGACTGGTAGTAGGTTTAGCTGTGGTTCAACTCATATCAATAAATTCCTAATTTTTTCATTGATTTATTTACATTTCTATTAATATTGCACCACTAATGAATAAATTTGATTAGATGTTTGCCATAATTATGTGAATAATTGTTGTGATTTTATACTACAAGTTTATTTATTTTTAAGTGAAGAGAAATAAAATTAAAATTTCAATGGTATTAAATAAAATTGAATCAAATTGTGCAAATAGTTGTGTTAGAAAATTTAATAAATGTAAAATTATAATATTTAAGAAATTTTGTGTTGGTTTAGGGTTACCACTGACTTAAAGATTATTATATAGTTATGTGATTTAAAATTGGTAAGTTTTGTACAATAAAACATTCCCAAAACAAAATATATCTTTTAATGTTATTGCTCACTACTAGTTATATAAGCTGTTCCTTTGAAAGACCTTTGGTTTGTATGTACCATTTTTATTTACAACTTTCCATTATAAGTCTCTTTACTAAAGAAACTATTCTTAATTTCTCTTTTATTCATACCTTAAAATGACATTATGTGGGAAAATTAAGATTTTGCTTAAAAAAGCTAGTATTCATTGTTTACGAATTTTGTGATTTACGTTAGTTCAATTTGCGGCCACCAGGCGCGCTGGGGAGAATCTTTGCGTCGCCAATTGTCGATCCGCGTGATACTCCTATAGCTAGGTCATGTTCCAAAACTCACGCTAGTTAACTAAAAAATGCTATAGTGTACGTGACGTAAACTATAGATTTTAGTTACCCAGAGTGAGTTTTGGAACATGACTCTGTGGACATTGTGCCGTTGACAAGGAATCATATATTATATGTATATGTGATTCTACTTTGAAAAAATTTGACCCTAGCAATGGTAATATATTGACATGCAACGGTTTGCGAGATTCGAAGATAGTTTTACAAATAACTCATACAGCACAAAATATTTTTTTAAATATATTTTTTAAGAAGATTAAAATAATTTACAAAAATATTTTTAGAATGTTTCTATGTCCGCCAAATCATGTCAAACGAATATTTTTAAAAATAATATTTTTAAAAGATTGCAAATAAATATATTCAATAATATTTGTAAAGATTTTAAAAATATAGCTACAAAAAATGAAATATGTTTAACCCAATCAGCAATAATTGTTGCAAGCCACGTTTGAAAAATTTTTTTAATATTTGAAAAATATACATTTTTATATCTTACTTTGGAAAATATTATTTTGTATATCTATATCATCGCAGCAGTGTTTGAGAGCTTTATTATGCGGAATCTACAAATGCAAGTCGTAAGTCATAATTCGTAAGAAATTGACCAAGTGTACAGTCGAATTTGAGGAGAATAATCGACTGTGATTGGTCAATTCTTACGATTCACGACTTAATGCTGGTGACCCATGGAGCGTATTACGTGGAACGGAACGAGTGTATCACCATCACGGGATCGTTCTGATAGAACCTAGAGTCCCTCTAATAAGAGTCGCGACATCTTGAGTTTCGGCAAAATAAAAGAGAAAGAGAAATTTAAGCGATATACATTCATATTGCTTTCTCTTTCTCTCTTATATCTCTTTGTTTCTCGTGCTTTTGCCGAAAATGCAAACCAATCAAAATTGAGGGACTCTAATAGAATCCTGTCAAAGATTCCGTCGAAACGGTCCCGTGATTGGTGATACGCTCGTTCCGTTTCGCGTTATGGGACGCCCGCCCGGCCCGCCAGACTTTACAACACCCATTGTAGACCGGCCCTTAGATTTGCCGAGACTCGTGGCCTCGTGGCTCGTGGCGCTGGGAATGCTGGGATTTGTGCGTCCGCCGCGTTCGGTGTTCGGTCTTTCGTGTCGACAGTCGACACTCATTCAAACGCTGTCAGAAGGCTATGGACGCGGAGTGAATCCGGCTGGTTAATTGTGTGCATTGCATATATCACATATATATGCGTGAAAAGTGACAAATTTACTGGGGGACTGGGAGTTGAATTTTGATACCGCGCTGTCACGCGAGCCGTCATGGACGATAGACGAAATAATCGCGAGGTTGTAACAGTGTTATTTCTGTGCCTCCTATGGTACGTGGTGTCCAGCAGCAGCAATGTCGTCGGCAAGATGTTGCTATCGGAATTCCCATATCCGCTTACGGTGACCATGGTACAATTGACCTCGATCACCGTCTACTCTAGCCCATTCTTCAATTTGTGGGGCGTAAGGAAGTACGCGTCCAACATAACGTGGAGCTACTACATGCGGCTCATCGTGCCCTTAGCCCTGGGCAAGTTTGTCGCGAACGTGTTCAGCCACGTCAGCATTTGGAAAGTACCCGTCTCTTACGCTCACACTGGTATGCTTATATACCATACATTGCTTTTGGCCTCTTGGCACTCTAGTCAGTATGTCAGGTGCATACATCGTGTATCCTCATATATGCATATGTACTATATACGCACGCATGCACGTATGTACGTCACATCATACCTCATATCACTTGTCATACACTACCGGCCAAAAGTTTGAGACTATTAATTGAAAATATATACTATACAGGGTGTTTCCTAAGTAAGTACAAAAAATTGAAAGGCATATTCCGTTCATAGGATCTTTTCTTCCTAAAGTAAGCCACGGAATATCCCCTTCAATTTTTTGTACTTACTTAGGAAACATGCTGTATATGAACTCAGACAACACCATGTTTAAAATTGGGACATAAGACGTCTTTGATAACCTAATAATATTTATGTGTATTTCCAAGTACACCAGATTTCAACCTAATAAACTGCGCGCCGATGACTTAAAACAGTTTTCAGTGGCACATTAAAATCCGCTACTCCCCTAATTAAATCGATATCAATTTAAATATTTGATGCTAAGCATCTAAATTATTGTAAAGAATTTATTGCGAAAAATATCTCAGGCAGGGTTCGAACCTGGAACCTCTCTCAATCTGTGCAGGTGTCTTACCAATTCGATTAATATATCTTTATTACTTTATTTATTATTTTACAATAAAATGAAAAATACTTAAAAATGTTTGAATACTCTAAAATGTTTACAAAAAATATCCTTTACATTACACTAAAAACTTTATATTAGAATATTGGACACTAAAAAAATATCCTTTATATTAGACACTGAAAAATATTAGACACTTTTTTCGTCAAAAGCCACCCTTACATTTAATCACTTGTTTTACTAATCCAGGTAATCTAGCTATCTACCTAAACATTAATTTTTACGTAATTAGTATTTTTTGACGTAGAACTACGTCTTTCCCGGAGGGGGGGGGGTAACTTCGGGTGCACGACTGCAACCTTGCAACGTTTTTGCAACGAAATCATGACACTAATATTTCTCGAAAAGTATTAAAGGAAAATATACTTTATTATAGTGTTTTTGAAATCTCTCGATATGAGTTAAATGTTCCTGTAATTTATTTTGGTGGTTTTTATAACCAATTTTCTTCATATGGCAATTATTATAAGAACCTGATGTCTATCTGTATGTCTGTCTGTCTGTCTGACCGCGAACTACTCATTCGTTAATAGACCGAATTTTAAAGAATTATACATGAAACGGGTAGAATTTTCTGGGAATGGTGGTGGTGGGGTTAATTTTTTGTTACCGATTTTCTTTAAAATTCGGTTTATTAACAAATGTTCTTCTCCCGTTTCCTTTCTCCTCTTCTTTCTCTCTGTCTTTCTTTCTCTTTCTCTCTCTTTTCTCACCTTTCTCCTTCTTTCTCTCTCTTTTCCTTTCTTTTTCATCCTCCTCCTTTGCCTATTTCTTACTTTCTTTTATTCTATACCACTCTCTTGTTTTAGTTTTAGTTATATATTAACCGAAATTTGGCTCTGTCCCAGTGAAGGCTACAATGCCTCTTTTCACGGTGGCTTTATCAAGAATAATACTTCGGGAGCAGCAAACGTGGAAAGTGTATTTGAGCCTTGTGCCAATAGTCGGCGGCGTAGCCGTGGCCACACTGACGGAGCTTAGTTTCAACATGATCGGCTTGATAAGCGCCTTAACATCCACTATGGCGTTTTCCTTGCAAAATATTTACTCAAAAAAGGTAATCGGTATGGACGAAAAGATTCTTTCTCATGTTTATACCTCATATTTCTTTTTAAATCTTGCAATTTTTTGCCTGCAGGTGCTACATGACACAGGAATACATCACTTGCGGCTACTGCATATACTCGGCCGTCTAGCTCTATTCATGTTCTTACCAATTTGGATTGTGTACGATTTACGCAGCTTGATGTACGAATCGATTATAAGACCGTCCATAGATATAAGCTATTATATATTAGGGTTATTATTTCTAGATGGTATACTTAATTGGTTTCAAAACATTATTGCGTTTTCCGTATTGTCAATCGTGACCCCTCTAACATACGCAGTGGCAAGCGCTAGCAAGCGCATATTTGTGATAGGAGTAACATTACTCGTACTTGGCAATCCAGTTACTTGGCTTAATATATTTGGTATGACCATGGCCATCTTAGGGGTATTATGTTACAATAAGGCTAAGTACGATCAGAGAATAGAGAAGCAGAACCAAACGATTCTTCCAAAATATTATAATGCTACACAGAACGGTAATAGCAGTTCCTTTATGGTAAATGGATTTGCCGGTAGACATCAATTATATGCAGTCTAGTCTCAATTGATAATTCTATTCTGACAAATTTATGTGAGTTTTCTGAATCTGAATCTGTAAATGTAAATTAATTTTTACAAATTATCACGCACTATTACAAATTATTACGATAGTAATATCGACCAAATACGAGGAAAGAACTCATATGATGATGAATTTATTTTTAACATTATTATATATGTGTGCAGATGTGCGCGCGTATTTAACACACGTGCATGCGCACTGGAGGAATTGTTTTGTATTCTGAAAAAGTATCCGAACATCTAAATATGATATCAAAAGTTAAACGTGTTTGAAAAAAATGTTTTAAGTAAAAATTTTACAGAGGAAATATAATGCGAGCAATAAATATTTTATAATATATATATATTTTTTATGAGATATTAACAATTTTTTAAGTAAATTTATAATACTTTTTTATAATCCTTTTGATTCTCTTTTTCTTCTTTCTAATTTTTTTACGTATTAGAGATTATCGACGACTAAAATCTTTTGAATGTTGTTCAAGGTCATGACCTTGACAACATATATGTCAAGCTTAAGATCATTGGAGCTGCCTTTTTTAAACAGAAGTTTTACCAAATAAGGTAAAAGTCTTCAGATCATGTCTATTGGCGAGTATATATATATATATATATATATATTGATATATCTTGATATAAAATACAAAATAACTTGTAAAGTATTCACATAAATGAATTGAACTCTTATGTGACTAAGAGAAAATTTAATTGTAAAAATAATATTGTTGTTTTATTCTTTAAAAATATCATTATTTCTTCTCATAAAAAATACGTGTAAAAATTTTGTTGTGTACATTATAATTTTCTCTTAAAACTGACATACAAAACGGTTCTTTTTTCAAAAATGCTCTGTTTTCTATATATTTGGTAATCTATATATATATTTTTTTCTTTATTATATATGAGCGCGCGCATATATGCGAACATATAAATTTATACATACATATATTTCTTTTTGCTTTATATAAATGTTACAGAAAGATGTGATCTACATTTTTCGAGTTTAGTGTGAAAACTATCGTTTTCTAGATAATTATATTCTATATTTTCATACCATGATCGCGCGTCGTAATAAGCTCTGTTTAGTTTTTCAACTCTGAAGCTAAACCTGTATAAGGCGTGTTGCACAAATCAAAATTATTGTTTTTAGCTAATTGCTGGTCCAATTAGCCTTAACTATGAATCTGACTACATTCTTCAAAACCACTTTTAGCATGTACTCCATATTTTATATTAAAAAGTGTCTCACGTTCAAGAGGTATTATTTATTGACGTATAATATAGACTTATATTGTATATATTACATTGCGCGTCTTCTAAAAATAATTACATCTTCTAAATCGTTCAGATACAAGTTTATACACTTACACAATCCAGATGTACAGACTACGCTCAACGCTGTTTTAATTTTATTTATACTTTCTAAATTATTAGCCCGTTTTGAAATAAAAAGAAATTCAGATACGTTTTTAAATGTCGATGATATGCAGAGTGCAGACCCATATTCGTGGGTTATGTGTGGAGAGTATGTGTGCGTGCATGCGAATGGAATTGTACGTAGGAGAAATTGTTCTAGCAGAGAAAATCAATCTATACATTTATTTTTATAAATAAAATACACATGTGTACAAAAATATATTGAAAACATTTAATATTCGAGCCAGCGCTCATACATAAAATTACAATCGCATTCTAAGAATGCAGCTATCAGTATCAATAGCATCCACGTTTATTCTCATTAATCTCTAAAAAAATATATCCGCTATAAGAACTATTACAGTTAAGAACGAATTCTGAAATATTCTGAAATATCTAGGCTATTAACTGAAATTGAATTGGATTGCAATGATACTAATAGTTTAATCGCAGGTGGTGATTGTTATAGCAATCTACAAAGTTTTCACGATGTTTTGCGGAGATAATGGTCTCGCTACCGTTAGATCTAAACACAGTCCCGCTGCTGCAATAAGCGGAACCGCCAAACAACAATCGCAGTCTTCCGTGCTAGTTTCATTTACTCGGAGAATTCTGTCGTACGGCCGCAAAATGCCATCGCATGGTCCCCCAGGTCGCAAACGATTTATGTAAACGCCACGTTCATAAAGGCCATCCGATACCGAGAAGCCAAAATCTTCATAGACTGGGTCTTTATGAAGTGACACATGTACTATTTGTTGAGACCTGTTAGAACCACTGTTGCGTTCTTGTGCCCTGAATTTTATAATAGAGGAGAAAACGTTACACGAATGAATAATTGCTGTTAAAAAAAATCTTGATTGTTAGCTAATTAATTTTGATACCCCGGATAAGATGGTATTGATAAATCTAATTGTCCACTGTCCGTAGAGGCGGTATCCCAAAGTCTCAATATTTCCGGCATGGTACCACTACTGTCTCCCAGCTCACCCCAAGAATCCACTGCGCTGTCCACGCTAGGAAGACTCTCTCTGCCTGAACGTAACACACCATTCGGAAATTGCGCCTGGACTGTATCGCTTCTTATGCTGGGCTCTGTGCAATAATCTCTGCAAAAATCTTCTTTCAGACTTTTTTACACCGAGATTTTTTGGAGCAGTTACCCTTTAACTCTTTGAATTCCAAAATTTTATATTTGCTCTTTGTTTTCTATTACAAATATTTGATAACAGATTGAAATAGATTTTTTTTTTCATTAAAGACTGATAAACATATTTAAGATTTTTTTAAGTATGTTGCATTTAGAAACACTTCAGATTTTCGAAAAATTTGAAGTTAAAGTTAAGTAAAAAAAGATTATTTTAATATAATTTGTCATTCTACAGCTATTATCGAAAAAAATTTATTTTACTTAAAATTAAATGCATTATGTTAAAATTTTCAACTATTAAAAGAATAATTCTATTATGAATTATTCATCAACTATTATGAATTATTCATCAACTATTATGAATTAAGTTAGCAAGATTTTTATGATCAAATATTGAGTCTATTATAAAAAGTGTTTTGTAATTTGCACTTATTAATCACATAGATCCTAGAGTGAATCTGACCCAACTTTATAAAAAATTCAAATTTTTAATCTAGTTTATTAGTAGCTTTGTTTATACTTTTTTATATCACTCTTTGTTTCTCGTTTGTACCTCAAAAAATACAAAACGCCTGATTAGAAAATATATTTTAACTTCGTTAATACCATTTAAAAAATCATTTGTGCTCGTATATACTTCTTTCAATTTCATTTATACCTAGCTCGAAACTATTACTACTATTTTCAGTTTTAAGGAAACCATCAAGAAAATAATTCAGCCATTTCTCGAAATATCACAAAACTATCAACAGCATTTGAAAGAGAATCTTTTGTATCTCAAAGAGTTCGAAACTATATCTCTTTTCAATTTTCAGAAATCCGTCAAGAGAATAATTCTGCCCTTTTTCGAGATAAATTCGCAAAACGGTCAATAATATTCGACAGAGAATCGTTTGTACCCGTTTATACCTCTTTGATTTCGTTTGTATGTCAAAGGCTTCGAAACTACAGCGCTTTTCAGTTTTCTTGACGTATTTCTGAAAATATCCTATATAACTAATACAAAATAAGTCCTTGAATGAAATTTATACATCGCGACACATTTTACCTAAAATAAAAAAATGTTCAAAGAACTAACTTTGATAGAAAATGTTTCGAATGGCATCGAATACCTTATTTCCGTATTAGGATCCGGCTTTCTAATAGTTAAAGCAACTACTGATCCGCCGGGCCGATGCAACAATTGAGCGGCTTGCCTCAAGTCTCCGGGATCCAGTTTCTGCCCATCTATTGCAAGCAATCTGTCTCCAGACGCTAAACTGCCAGTTCGATAAGCGAGCGATCCTCGACGGACCTCTGTGATTACTAGATCTTCGTTTACTGTGAGACCCAGATCAGGCTGGCCGCCTAATGGCCTAGCCACTCTCACCGTGAAGATTCCGGAACTCGGCACTACAGATCCACCCACTTTGTATTCTATCACCAACTCGATCTGATTGTGTTAAACATACGAAAATAATTAATATAAGAACATATTTTACTGTACTTATTTTCAGCAACTACGAAAACTCGAAGCAGAGAGAGCCATTTACCATCTGCGATGTCTCTAATATATTGATTACTTCTGACGGTTGTAAATCGCGTAACATTCTCCGGTTGATCGCGATGGCCTTGTCGCCAGGCAAAAGGATACCGCTCCGTTCCGCCGGACCACCAGCTTCCAGCAGGCTCACTATATAATTCACGTGATCTTCGGCCAATTTGAGGGCAAGACCGAAACCCCGATGATCCGGCCGTAGAACGAGCGTCAAGCTCTCTTTCATCTGCAAAGTCTGATTTGAGTTTTGCTGGGCCTGTGGCTGCGCCTTCCTTTTGACCGTTCTCGCACTAGGTGGTCGCGGTAATATCTGCAGTCTAGCAATGCGACAACTTTCAGAATTATTTCTAAGCAGTTTGGCGGCGGTTATTGCATCCTGAACAGGCGTGTCGTCCACAGCTAACAGTCGATCCCCTGCCTGCAATGCACCACACCGATCCGCCGTACTCGCTGGACGAAGGCTGTCGATGTAGACTCCATTTGATGTCTCTCTTACAGTTAAACCAAGCTCTCCTGAAAAATTCCAATTTATATTTCAATTTAATCTAATGCCTGCTCTAAGGCTAAATTCCTCTTTCTTTGACTCACTCTTATGCTAAAAGTATTCACAAGCTATCATCGTTTGACTTAAAAGAGAATAACCTGGAAATTTTTGTTTGAATGAAAACTTTGCATGTACACTGTCGGTCAAAGATTTAAGACCATTACAGTTTCATACAACTGTGACTCCATTTATTAAAATGAAGAAAATTTTCCTTTTTATTAGTATATTTTTTTCTCACTTACTCAGTCAGAAAGGTGATGTCGATTTAACGTTAATTTGACGTCGAAAAGGTTGACAGCTGGTTAAATAGAATTGATCGACATCTCCGGCGTCGAATCACTGTTGATCGACGAACTTTTTGACTGAATATAGTCTTATAGTTGACTCGACGTCGAATCAATGTTGATCTGACATCGACAAATAAATTTATATAATAAAATAATTATTAATATTATATCCCCTACAGCACGAAATATTGCAGCAACATTGCAGCAATGCATAGACAATGCACATATAATATAAATATTATAGGTAATTTGAAACGGATATAAAAATTTCCTTTTATGTTGTCATTTATTTTATATATAAATAAATATAATGTTTATATATATATATATAAAACATTATATATATATATATATATATATATATATATATATATATATATATAATGCTCTACTATATATTATCTTTTCTTTATCAATATAGATGGTATCAATGATCATGTTCGCCAATTTTTTTGTTTGACGGTGGAAGACTGCAAATTTCAAGATTTTGAATATCTCAATACGTCGTGCGTAAACTCCGCACCCGGGAATTTTCATCTTTGCACACGACTTACACTCCCTATTTTATGTTGCAAGTGCCTGGAAAGTGGTCTATCACGCACGCGTAGCGTGCGTAATGGGGCACTTTCCATGCACGTGTTGCATAAAATATATAGGGTAGACCAAGGCGAATCAGATTACTAATTAGCACGATAAAATAGCTTGTTTGAAAAAAAAACACTAACGAAAACTGTCTTAAAACTTATATTGATCCGATTCGCCTCGGTCTACCCTAAGTTATTTGATGGATAGAGTATCATTTTAAAGAAAGATTGTTATTGAATTTGGTGAGAATCGGTGAAGGGATTATCGATTTCTGTTTAAAAAGTGTATAAGATGTACATGTAATTTCATATAGAGTATCATTAAAGGAAGGTTGTTTTGAATTTTACGAGGATCGGTATGAAAGGGTTACCGATTTGAATTTCTTGAGAAATGTTCGTGGTTGCTCTAACTTCCGCAAATTGTGAGACATTAGGTTATTTCTAATTCTATTATATTTTTCAGTGCCAGACTAGAGTCAAGCTTAACAGGGTCTTCTTTCCCCGCTAACTTTTCCAAGCCTCTTGGCAGTGGTTTCGCTAGATAGTAGATAGGGACAGTGGGAATCTCGTTAATCCATTCATGCGCGTCACTAATTAGATGACGAAGCATTGGGCTACCTTAGCTGCTATTAAGCTATTAAGATTTAGTTGATTAGATCCAGCTTTATACGCGAATAAATTTTATTCAATAAAGGTCCATATGCGAAGTCCATATATGGACCATGTAGCCTAAACTCCCAAAATCCACATCGATTTGATATTGCGTCGATTGTAAAAACCCCACTTGTGCTACTAAAGCTGACCCTCTATCAATTCATATATAAAAAAGTTAAATTTAAAATTAAAAAAAGTGCGTACATTAGAAACTTTCACATTGCTTTCTTATTATTACAGATCGCTACCATTGCTCCTATTTTATTTCGCTCATAAAGCTTCCTCTTTGAGGAAGCCAAACTATTATAATAAATACTAATAATTATGCATCAAATAAAATACAAGCCTCCTCGTAAGAGGAGCTTTGTGAGCGAAATAAAATAGGAGCAATTATGGTAGCGATCTGTAATGATGAGGAAGCAATGTGCAAGTTTCTAATTTGCACACTTTTTATTTAACATTAATAAAAATATACAAAAAATCTGAAATATATTTTCAATCGCATTAACATAACAAAATTTAAAAAAACGAATGCCCTGATAGAATTCTATACAGTTAAATTAGACGTTGTGTACTATCGTAATACTTATGAATAACATTTTATTAAATTTAACGAGACTTAACCATATGTTACGCAGCTCTCGTTGAGCCGGGTGCACGGCACGTATTTTCTCGTCTTTGGATACAGCTTCGCTAAAGAATGACTTTGCTTCGTGTTTTACAAATTTTTTATTGCTTATTGGATATTTATTATTTATAGCCTTTTAAGTAATAAGTAAATGAAAGCTCTTTTAGGAAATTACATCTCTTTAAAATAGAAGAAAAAATATACCTGAGAGGCCACGTTCCAATTGAACGAGCAACGGACCCGAAGTAGCCGCCCGTGCCTCCTCCATGTTCGCGACGTCATACTCGATGGTAAGAGACGCAATCGGAGTGTCTGAGCTCCTTCTAAGCGCGCGTTGCGCTTCCGCCAAGGTGAGTCCCCGCAACTCGGTGTCGTCCACCGCCAGCAACCGGTCACCGGGCCTGACTCTACCCTCTTTGGCGGCCGGACCGTCCGCTTTCACCCCCGTCACCACCAAAGCCCTCGACATCCCTCCACGGAGGGTTACACCGAGGCTACCGTCTTCGCGCTCCACTCGTACCTGCGCGACCTTCGACGAGACGCCGGAAAGCGGCGATAACGCGCCGATAATATTCGTCTCTTGGTCATCCGGCAGTAAAAAGCTGTGAGGATGGTACTGGGTCTGCGTGAGCGTCTCCTCCGTTCTCGTTGAGTCTGAACTCGCGGATGTGGCGACGCTTCCGGGCCTAGCTCGGCTTTTGTGCGAGCGCATCGTTGCCAGCCTCAACGAACTGAACATCCTCGTCAATCTTTATTTCGAAATTCCGATGTGATTTGATATATTATATATTGTTCAAATATATTAATTTAACAAAGCGATTATCATTATTTTCCCCCAAAAAGAAGACAGTCTCTCACTACACTGAGAAAAAAAATTTGTCAATCCCAAGAAATATTTAGTCCGATACGTTCAACTAAACATTTTAGTTAGTTAACTAAACATTAGTTGAATTAATTAATTCTTGATTAAAAAAACGAAATAAATTGTTGAAACAACTAATATTTAGTTAACTAACTAAAATGTTTAGTTGAACGTATCGAACTAAATATTTCTTGGGATTAACAATTTTTTTTCTCAGTGTAATAATTCCACTTGCAATCCACTCCCCCTTTTCTTTGTTTATAATTTTACACATGTAGGCCAGTCCAGTTTACGACAAGTGATAAATCACGAATCACAGTCAATGCAAATTTCGCGAGAACTCTTCTTTTCTCATAGCTCCATCCTGCATCCTTACTGAATTACATTAACAGAATACGAATATTATTTTATATGTTACACTATATATGTGTATTATTAAACGAATATTAACGCTGTTCTCTCTACAATTAAATTGAAGCTAATTGTAGATAAAAGTAGTAAAAAAGATATTTAATACACAATACGTGCTTTCTTATCCCCTACAATTCAATAATAAATTCATCAAAGCTGACATATTTACAGAAACAAAACATACACGTTCATATAAATATGTGTGTATGTATGCATATAAGTATTATACATGTGTTTCCTTATTCTCATAAATCTGTCGGTTTTGGAAAATTTATTAGATTATTGAAAGATAAGGAAGCGTAACATGCGCGCGCGCGCGCGCGTGGTGCGTCGAATCTCCGAGGCACCGGCTTCCAATTTGAAAAAACAAACTTCTAGTAAGAGAAGAAGAGCGGCACGAATGTAAGAAATTAAATCCCAATGGCATAATCAAGAATAATTTTTTTGCTCACGTATCAAACCGATCACGGCCTTGGTTTCTTTGTTCTAATATACGATGCAACGCGTGAAACCGTCGCCACTGTTCGCCGCGGCCGAAACCCCGTAGAACTGAACGCAGAACTGTAACGAGTCGCGATACGGCTCTCAAAAATAACTCCTCCTATATAGGGCCGCATCTCTGTGCAGACGAGCGCGTTCTATTTATATGATCAACATCCACGTTTTACGCTTTACGCGCAGAAATCGTGCGGCCCTGTGGAGATCGGATGCCCCCGCAGTCGCCGTAACGTCGAATGAGAGACCAGGCTTCTCATTAAACACTTTACAGCTCACTTGTTCTTATAGATCTCGAACACGTCTAGTTTAACACGATTGCTATAACAGATTAAATACATTCAAGAGAGTCTCTTTTTCCTCTTTTCCCTTCCCACCTCTTTCTCTTTACCTCTCTTTCTATCTCTATTTCTCTCTCTCTCTCAGTATAATTTTTTTATATTTTTGTGTCTTATAGAATGAATCGAGAAACGAACAGATCGGATCGTAATAATCGATATTTCTTTCTATTTTTAAATCTTGAATCTTCAAATTAACGATTTTGATATTTGATCTGAGCTTTAGATTTCTTCGTAATATTTCCCTTTTTTGTTCTAAACGATTTAAGATTTATTTATCAAATATCAATTTTATTACTAGGAAATATAGGTATATGTATATATATAATTTTCCTATACACATTCTCTTCTTTGTATAATAAAAAAAACTTATTCTTTCTCGTTTCGTACACAGATTAAAAAACTTTTTAAAATTTTTTACTATGCTTTAACTGCAATACCTATATAATAATTATGATACAACACTCGTTGTAATTATTATCATTATATTTGTATTAATGTCTTTTATCTGTTTTCTTTTATATGTACTGTGTTTTTTCTTTCCCTCTTTTCTTTCTTTCTTTTTGTATTGATTATACTACGTTTCGACACCTTTATATAAAATATTTTAGTTTTTTTATTTACATCATTAAAGTTACTTTTGTTAATAAAGAAATAAGTAAATAAATATCTTTTGTTAGATTTATTGTTGCTGCGTTCGTATGATGTCATTGTGACGTCAAAATGACGGGTAAAAATCAGAGTTTGATCGCTGAACTATTATGACTTCAAAATGACTGTACAGTGACTCGTCATAAAATCATTACATGACGATATTTTGACTTTCAGGATTTTTATATTAATTTTTAGGGAGAACACGATAATATTCTCTCACGATTTCAGAGATCATTAACCAATTCTCTTAATCGCTTTTTATTATTACCTACTATTCCCTCTGTTTCATGCATCTTTGATCTTAATTTCTTGCTGTTGACGTCGATCTCTCTCTCTCTCTCTCTCTCTCTCTCTCTCTCTCTCTCTCTCTCTTCTGTCTCGCTCTTTTCCAATTAATTCATGCAGAACGAATCGTTCTCCATATTCTTGCTTTACTTTGCGATTAATTCGTAGGAACTGTATACAACCGTGTTTGTACAAATCTCTTTTAAACAATTCATTTTATATTATTTATTTTTACACTAACAACATACTGTTTAATTGTTATATATTTTTATTTTTACTAATATATTAATTGTCTCGAAGAGAAAAGGTTAAAAAATCTTAATTTAAATTATTTTAATACAATTTTAATTTATTTATTTAATTGATTAGATGTCCGAAATTTGTATCGTTAATCTAGATATATATAATCTTGTAGCATTAAATCACAGTCTCTATTTTAAATGTCCATTAAAAACTAACAATAAATTAATATTGTTATTTTTATATTTTTTTTTTCTGACGCAATGTTTATATGAAAAGCCACAGTGGTCCCGCAGGGATTTTATGACAGTCCATCACTTTCTCTGCTATGGATGTTCTAACGAATCATGCAGTTTGCCAATTCCTCGACGATCTAAAGTTAGCATGTACGGTGAGCCAAGTGTAACCTAACGAGATCTAGGAAATAATAAGCTAAAACAGACCGCGCGCGTGCGCGCACGCGAAAGAAGGAAGGATTCAAGAGAGAGGAAGCAAGAAAGAAGAAAATAAAAAAGAGAGAGAGAGAAAGGAAGAGAAGAAGAAAGAGAAAATGTGAAAAAAATATAATTATAATGAAGAAAAGATTTAATGACGGAAATTGGAAAGTAAAAAGAATAGGAAGTGCAAAAGCAAGCTTCAGAATATGAACCAATTATGCATTACTTATTCTAATACATCAAGGATGCAAAAATCATCCATAAATTATTCATATTTAATTAATAATAATCTATTATAATAAGCATCTAATGTCTGTCTGTCTGACCGCGAACTACTCATTCATTAACCGATTTTCTTCAAACCGGTGCCAAAATTTTTCTAATTTTTCGGGGATGCATGGGCAACAATGGGTTTACATTTTTTTTAGAAAACTTTTTTTGTAAAATTCGGCTCATTAATGAAAAATTAAATCCATCGTTGCCATCCCCAAAAAATTAGAAAAATTTTGGTATTGAACTGTATGATGTACTTCCGTGCGTAGCGCGGGCTTAAAAGGTATAGTAATTAATAACAGTTGTATTAAATCGAACATAATATATTGCGTATGGTTAGGTATTGTGTATGGTAACAAATGCAAAATTGTAAATACAAATGTCTCAACGTATCGTTCATGGAATTATCCTGTATTTATTTTTGAATACATACAATAAGTTTTACTCCAGAAATTAAAATTTTATTTTGCATATATTTCTCTATCGAAATAGGTTGCTTAAGGTTACTTAATGAATAAGTACACATTTCTAATTAAATTTCTAGTATTTTTGGTTGCCATTAAATATATTTTTAATATATTTTATCGAATTGTCAACTTGTAAAAAACTAGAGCATACACTTAATTAATCAATGCCCACGAGCACGTCGATCGACTACAAGAGTGATTTGTTAAACTAAATAAATTATTGTCAATTGCATGCTCTCATTATCCATCGATCTATCGTTCTATGTCTATGATATAAAAATCCATGTATTCTCACTTATCGTTTATAGTCCAGGTGCAGATAACTATAGTTTGAGGAACATTAATGATAGAAATATAATTTTACATTAAATTCTAGCCATTGTGCGATATGTGTATATTATTACTTAAGTTTCCAATCGTATTTACATATTCCGATAAAAGTTCAAAAATAAAACAATTACTTATGAACTGTTTAATATATTTTACGGATACGTATATACATATATAATTGCTTGTATCACATGCACAAGAAATATATTTTATAGAGTAATAAATAAATATTTACTTTTCTTGTATTTAATATAATTAATCATATTAGCGTACACACATATTATGTACAAATAAAAACTATAATTTATAAGTAATTGCTTTGTCTTTCGACTTTTATCGATAAATAAACATATATATATATATATATATATATATATATATATATATATTATTTATACATATTATGTTGACATTGTATAATATCGTCGCTCGTTCCAAAAATATAAAGCAAAAATTAATTTTATGCAAGCCAACAAGAACGTGATACATTCTCTTCTTCATTATTGTATGGCACAAAAAAGTTAGAAACGACGAATATTGTTCTGTTAAACGCTAACGTATTCTTTATTTAATTGTCACATATCAATTAATCTGTCGCGTTCGGATTTGTGTAAGAGAATCCGCGGAAAACACCTTGATCCATCGAAGTCAAGATCTGCTCGGGCACTGGCGTGAGCCTCGGACGTTCGGTCGTGAATGCCGTGTCGAAGTATTTTGTGTCCAAAGTGTGGTCGAGCGCGGGCTTAAACGGTGGTTCCAATTGTCTCTTCTCCAATCGATCCCAGGGCAAATGCTGCGGAATCGGAATGCTATTTGACTGCTAAATCGCACACGATACATTTTTCTGCCATCTAAAAAAATCGTAACAAATTGTACCTGAAAAAAAGCATGTACAGCGATTTCGTGAGCAGGTAGCCGCTTTCCAGAATCCTTCTCCAACAAACAGATGAGTATATCGGTAGCCTCTTGACTCAGATACCGAGGTATGAATGGCCGTTCGTTGCAAATGCTCCAAAACAGTTCATCCTCATCGCATCCAGAAAACGGCGATTGACCAGTCAACATCTCGTACAGTAGAACGCCATACGACCACCAATCCACAGCTTGATTGTACTTGAGTCCTTTTATTATCTGCAAACAGGAGTTATTAAATGATTTTGTCTATTAAATAATTAATAATAAATATAAACAGAGGAAAAATAGAGAAATAAATTATATTTGAAGAGAATGATACCTCTGGCGCCATGTAATCTGGCGTGCCACAGAACGTATCAGCTGTTCTATCCAGGAAGATCTGAAGTTTACACATGCCGAAGTCCGCGATTCTAATGTGGCCGTCAAAGTCGAGTAGCACGTTGTCAAGTTTGAGGTCTCGGTAAACAATACCCTTCTTGTGCAAAAAGTTCAATCCGGACCAAATCTCGGCGGCGTAAAAACGCGCGCGCACCTCGGGGAATCGGCCGGACTTCTGTATGTGAAACATTAGATCACCCCCGTTCAGGTATTCCATAACAAAGAAGAGATGCGAGTCGGTTTGGAAAGTGCAAAACAGATGACAGAGATAGGGATGCCTCGTCGCCAGCGTGAGGACCTTTCGCTCGATCAACGTGCACTCGACATCGTCGTCCTCGAGCACGACGTCTTTCTTCAAACATTTCACCGCGTACACGGATTCCGTGCCGCGTAACTCTGCCAGCAACACCTTACCGAAGCTGCCTTTACCCAAGACCTGCGGAACGGAATGAGAATTCAAAATAGTATAACTAATATCTCTTGCTTGGTGGTTGCGTAATTATAAAGCAAAATTATTTATTATAATCAGTATTTGCCTTAGATGATTTTAAAATCATCAAATTGTATCATCAATTGTAAGATAAAGATAAGATGAAAATCCGTAAATAAATTCATCTTAGATGAGATAAAGATGATTTTGCTTTTAATTAATCTAGATGAAAGATAAAATAATTATTGCGATTTATGTAGAAAATTTTCTAGATAATTTTGTGTTTATGAGACTATTCATAAAAAATTATAAAAGGAATTTTTCAAATTTTTCTTTCCCAAAATTAAAATTTTTTGTATGTTTTGTCTGATAAACGGTTTCAAAGGGGTACACTTATTTACTGTGCTGAAGACGTTCTACTGTCATCGACGATGCATGGCAGGGATGTATTATATTTGAAAAATATTTTTTACATTTGAAAAATTCAAAAGAGATTGGATTACTTCACTGTTGGAAAATTTTTGTAGGTTTGTGAAAAAAGGTCCTTATTAAAATTTTTGTGTAAAATAATCAACACATACATGTGTAGATTTAACATATGCCTGCTGTGTTAATTGAACTTATTTAACAAATTTAAAATGTAAAATTATTAAAATAATTTATTTTTAAAGAATATGTTAAAGTAACACAATTTGAACGTATTTATTAAATGTGTTAAAATTTACAGAAAAAGAGTGTTGATTTTATCTTACAATCTTAACTTCAACATAAAAGTTATGTTAATTGTACACATAATTAACCTCAAAATTACGATCAGAATCGGTGTTACCATTTAACACATCCATATTATTATGTTAAATTAATTAATACAAAAATTTGAGTGGACATGTGATTTATGTTATATTTAACACAAATTTTCCAACAGTGTTCGACTTAAATTCCAAATACGAAAGTGCTTTGATGTTACCACTAATAATTATTTGATTATTGTCCTCTTTTTTCCAATATTGAGGAAGAAATATTCTTCTCCGCTACTAGAAGTTAATCTGTTTTCGAATGACATTTTTGCATTATAAATAATCTACTTCTTTCAAAAATAGGTCTTTATACAACTTTATACATATAACGTTCTGGAATCCAATTTAATTTAAACGGCGATAAAGAAATAGCAGGAAGAATGAAAATCCTACCATCTTAGATAATTTTTAGATAAGATAACATGATTTTTTATCTAAGATAAAGGTGAATACATTTTGTTTTTATATAGATAAGATAAAGATAATCCCATTTTTTTAATATCTCTGGATGATTATCTAAATAATTTTATTTAGATACTGGCAAACACTGATTATATATATAATATATATAATCTGTATCAATATATATAATATTATAATTATTATTATAATATCATAAAGCAAAATTATTTATCTTTCTTTTCTCTCAACATGTTCGAATCATCTTTTTTTCTCATATAGTTGATTAATCGATTTTGCTTATAATATCAAAATAAGTTATCTTATAATATAAAAATAATATCTCAAAATAAGTTAATTCTTTTCATATGTCATCATTTTTTACATTATTACCATTTTTGTTCGATATAAATTCATAAAACATATTGATAAAAATATATTTTCATTGTATTAATTATAAATACACACAATTCAATGAGAGAGCATGTTACATATACATATTTCCAACAAAAAAAAGCTTTATTGATAATTCATCAAGATTTCATTAACTGTTCATTAATCTACCTATAAAATGCAAGAAGAATCTTTAATACATTTTATCAATTTATATTGTGAAATATGCATTGCAGCGTGGAAAGAAATTAATTCATTCTTCATGTGATGCAAAACGTTGGTTTTACATAATTTCTTTTAACTTGTGACGTCATAATTCAATATAAATAGTTGCAATGAAATAGAAATCTTAAAACTACATTGTCACTATTACGCGTGCTCGATTAGATTTAAAATAACATGTAATTGAATTTAGATGAATGCTCCAAGTTTATAAACCGAGCGGTAAGTCTCGTCACGCGCATCTGGACGTTAAAAATAATGCGTTGCGCATGTGCTAATTCTGGTAATCTATATTTACATAGCTATTCCGTACAAATTCTGCTTCAAGTATCCTCGCGCGCAAATAAATCCTTGATAATGCACGGCCGTTTCTCCGTGAAAGCAAGGCGAAATATGTTCCTTGGCCATTACGCTCGTTCATCGATAGTAAACATGGAAATTGGACATTGGTCCTCTCATCCGCTGGAAGATTTCCTCGTGGAAAGCACCGCGTGAGTCAACCGGTTCACGTGATGTAAATACACGTGATTCAGATTAATTCTAGTCCAATTTCAAGCCAAGCTGCACTCGGCGAATCTTTCGGATCTATGTTCGCTAATAAGGATCAAATAAATACTTACGGAATTGATATCAATTACTCCGAATGTTCGTAAATGCGAAATGAGTGTTTAGAGATAATCATTAATATATTAACCAAAAGTTTACGCGAATTTATCTTTCGTAAAATTCAGAATTTTCAGAATTTTTCAGAAATTAATAAAAATAATTGTTGCTCTTGTCGACAAAGGTTTTCGTACGTACAAGATGAATAAAATTTTCACAAGAATATATTGTGGGAATGTTTCTCTGAAGATATGCCAAGTTCAACATGTAGAAGCAGAATAAACACTATTTTCTTTTATTAATGTATATAATGTATTGCATGCAAAGAATTGCCGAGTGAAGCCCCTCCCCTATCTATCTCCCTTTCTCTCCCTCTTCCCTCTCCTTCTCTCACTCTCCTTTCCTCCCTCCCCCTCCCTCCCGCCCTCTGTCTCCTTTCCCTCTTCTTCCCCCTCCTTCCTTCTTCCCTCCCTCACCCGTTCTCTCCCCACCTCTCCCTCTTTCTTCCCCTGCTCCTCTACCTTCCTCCCTTCATCTCTTTCCTTCTCTTATCCCTGTCCTTCCATATCTGTACCCCTTCTCACAATTTCTTTTTCCTTTCCCCTTTCTCTCTCCCACCTTCCTTCCCTTTTTCTTCTCTTGTCTTCTTCTCCCTCTCTTTCTCTCCCTAGTTCTTTCCTTTATCCTTTCCTTCTCAGTTTTGGTTCCTTTTTCTTTACTCTATCCTCTTTTCTCGTCTTTTTCTTACACAAGAAAGAAATTCTTAACGATCGTTAAATTAAAATTTGCAAAAGATGTTACTTTAATACGTCGGGTGAAGCTCTATAAGATATAACAAATTTTTTTGTCATTCTCATTTATTTGCTAGTTTTAGCAAAGTCAATCTAAATATTCGAAGCGTAATGGCAATTATTACTGGAATGCGAAATTGCTTTAATCGTGGCATCTCCTTTGTGAGGTATATGCGAATAGGTACGAGATAGGCGCACACGATTATATGCACACAAAGTACATAATGTAGTCTAGGAATAGTCGGTTAATTTTTGGAACTGGCTGAATAGATGCGCATGACGCGCATCGCGACAAACAAAAAGTTACACCAATGCACAAAAAGTATATGTATAATTAATAAAGTCAAACATTCGCATTTGAGTGGCACGTGTAGATTTTATCTACAATAATAATATGGAATTACAGACGTGTTTCATCTTTCTTTTTAAGGGAAGTATTGACAGGATTTTCGACTTGTACTTACTTTGAGAAAATTAAAATCGGTCACGGTGTATTTCTTGAATCTGGGCAGATTCGTCGCCGGCGGCGTTATCCGACCACTCGGAAAATGATCCGAGGAATCCGAATTCCGACTCTGATTATCCGATGATTGTGAAGGTGCTAAGTAAATAATAATCAGTGAATCAACTATCCTTATAACTGATATACACAGAAGTAAATATTAAACACGTGTCGTTAGAATATGTTTGTTAAAATATAAGCATATATTTTTTTCTTCGTTTCATGCAACTTGCTGGACAGACAGGAATAATTTGATTTCAGTTTCTCGATTCAGTTTCAACGAATGTGAGAATATGGATGAACATATCATGAACGATCTGCGCGCGCCTGTTGTGTATGTATGTGTTATATAATTTGCATATACAGAGTATCTGATAATAGGTATAACACCGCTCGTGAGAAGCTAGAATCAAACCAAATAGAAACGTCCTTTACTATTTTGTGATTTTCTTAATAATTAATGAAACTGCTCTCTGTACTTACCCGCAAGTAGTGTTAGATCTATTATTTTCACACACTCTATATAAAATATCGAAGTATTTTTCTTGTGAGCGTCAAGAAAACTTGTGATTATATTTGATCATTTACTACGTCGTTTCTTTACCATTACCATGTAACAACTAATCATACAGCAATTTGGCAAGGGACTTTTTTTAAGAATAACTTTGACAACTCGGGCATTACCTGCCTAATTCGTATCCGTTTCATGAAATCAGGCGAAGAACGAAAGAATATCCGAAAAATATTATGTATCACTTTAACAGAGATATGTTTATTGCGAAATGTTGCAGTTGAATAATTAACAGCGCGAGAGGTATTCAGATCGTTACTCACTTCTCTTCAGAGCTTGCAATGCTTCGGCGACTAGCTTCTGATTCAATCCACATAGATTTCCTGTCAGTTTTTCGCATTTCTTGTGGCAAGCCATGTCACAATCTACAGGAATTTAGTTTTATCGAAAACTAATCAAAAGATATTTATGCTTATAATTCGCTAAATATTAAACGCAATATTTCTATTATTTGATCTTGAACTGGCGTAAACAAAAGATTTGATTTTTACTATATATATACTACGTGCTATTAGAATATAATAGTCTAATATATATCATATCATTGTAACTCTTATATGATACCATCAGTGGTGGAAGCAGAATGGCGGCGATATTTACAAAAATGTTTAATGAAAAAATCAAGTTTTACATGAAATCTAACACAAATATATTTATATATTTATATTTTAATACGACAGTCAATAAATTGCACTATTTAAATTATATATTGTACAATAATATTAATAAATGACTTATTTAAATATTACATTTTTTGTAAAAATAACTTTTAATTCCCTTTTTTAGCACAGAAAAAATGCACTTGCGATTTACCTTGGTATATAATAACTGTTACTCTTGTCGGTACAAGATATCTAAAATACGCTGACAAAGTTTGACCAAACATCTTAAAAATACCCCATATATTGTAACGCCCTCCTACATAAACAGTTAGATATAAATGTCATTGACATTACGGCAACGACCTTACGTCATTTTAATAGCACTAATAGTGTGCGCGGGCGTCGCGCTGACTATCGCACCTATCGCTTCCACCATTTCCCGAACGTCAACACGTGATACTGTTAAAGTTAAAACAAAACTCGCCGCGAAGGAATGACGTAAAGAACGAGTTTTCACGAGCTTGAAAATGTTCCGGCGTGTTGAACCAAAAGACCTCAACTCAATCCTTGGGTTTACAATACACCTATATATAGTACATAAGTTTTGGTACAAATATTTTCGACAAGCATCTTCGACAAAATTCCTCTTTTACAAGATGTAGTTTTTATGTCCATTGCGTATCATTCGTCAATTTAAAAATCAATATACATACGTGAAAGTAATTCCGCACATGTAGTCGTTGAAATGCGGGCAAATGTTAATATTACTAACAGGAATTAAAATGCTATCCATGCGGGGACACTTGTGCAAATATCTCTGCGACGAGACTAATAACTACAACTCAGCTAGGTTCTGTCTAATTCCGTAACACATACGCCTACATACAAAATTATTGCCAGGAAATGCGAGGATTGTTAACAAATACTTGAAGCATTCAAACATAACGTAAACTAAATTAATGTTATCATCACATTAGTATGAATTAGTATTAGCATTTTCCACACATTCTTTTAATATTTTGCTAAAGCAGAAAAAAAATTTTTTTAACGATAAATAGATAAAAATGGCATAATAAATGATTTTTTTAAGCAGCAACTTTGGCGATGCAACTTAACAATTGCTTTCACGTGTAGTTCCACACTAAAGAAAAATGCAAAAAATCCTATAGAGCATTTTAATGTCCGATTTATGCTTATAGTTCTCTAATTATGATCATTATTTTATATATATATAATATGAGACTTTTATGTAGAAATACATATTTATCATTATATTATAAATTCAATATTAAAAAATCCCACATGTTTCTTATGAAAAAGAGACCCCGGTCAAATTGAAATCAAAATCAAATCCATTCCGACATGTGTGGTAGTTTTTATGATTTTGAACAAATGTCCATACACTTCATATATACGCGAGCGCGCACGGAACTCAATATTCACAAATACGCGCGCATGTATACCCATTACAAATAAAAAAAGGCATCAGGTTATCTGAAAAGAATATGGCAGACACTCATTGTCAGATTCTATAGAATTCGATTGGATGCACTCAGTGCACACTGGTGCATATTGAAGCCGTTATACACTGATTTAATTTCTAATCTTTAAAGTAAAATGCAAATATCTCGACTGATAAAATGCCTAATATATATTTTACCAAATAGCACAATAAAGAGTATTGAAGATTTCGTGATTTAATCCGTTTATATTAAACATAAACTTTATATATACGTTTATTTGTGACAATTTTAATGTGCACCAGTGCGCACTGAGTGCATGCAATCGAATTTGCTATAGACTTCAGAGCTTCACATTTTTTTATCCTTTGATTTTCTGTGGTTGTGACAATGGAGATATTTGTTCAGAGTCATGAAAATTATAATAAATCTCGTGGTCCAAAACGGAGCAATATTTGACCGAGATTATTTTTCCGTGAGAAACGGCGGAGTTCTTTAACCTAACTTAACTTTTGTTAAGTTGTTAACTATGCATAATGTATATTGAATTAATGAGAATATTAATTAATTAAGCAAATTTTGATCTGCATCCCACTTCCAAATGTTTACGTCCCACTCTATCTCTTTTCGGTAACTCGAAAATGATTAACCAACGTTTAGTTTTGATTCAGTTTTTATCATTTCCGGTGTTTCGAACTATATTTCAAAAAGCACCCTCATGTCACATCGTCAAAGTATTAGACTCTTTAAAAAAAATGTATATATATTTGGAAGCTGGATGTGTTCGACGACAAAACTTTGACGCGCAAGCAATCGCAAAAAGTAAGTACTCGAGATTCTCGGTGAACCGTCGAATCCAGAATCGTTGCTCCTCGTCGAATTAATTCTCTTGTGTTCGGAATCGTCGTTCGGTTCGACGCGGGTCGAGCCATTCTCGTCCGTACTCCCCGTCGTGGCGGTGCTCGTCGTACTTCCAGTACTGTCGCTACTAATGGACGGTGTGCGCGAATGATGCCGTCTTCTCTTGATCTTTGCCCTTCTGACTTTGGAGAGATCTCGCGGCGTAGCCGTGAGCAATGCGGATGGCGTCGTGTAGAACATCCTTATAAGGTCGAGCGGGCGTTGCAAGGGTGTATTCTTCGGACTGGACTTGGGAGACGTTTTCGGCGAAGGTTTTGCTAGATGCTGCTTCTCGGGGACGAGTTTGGCAGTAAGCGTATTCTGTTGACTCGCCGTCGTTGGTAATTCATTGCCACGAGTCTCCTTCGGTCCCCGCTCACTCTTTTCCGATGGTGTTTTTTTGGTCGGTGCTTTCTTCTTTTTAATCGCACGCTTCGTCTTGGAGGTTTGCGGACTGATACTAGGACTGGCGGCCACGCTGGTCTCCTCTGACGCGACCGGAGTTTCCACATCGTCAGTGTTTGTCAAATCGTCCTGATTACTCCATCTCGAGATCTTTCTAATTAAAGAGGGATCAGGCGATAGCTCGTTTGTTGGAGTGCTGGGTTCCTCGAGTTCCTCATCGACCGTCCGACTGTCGGACTCTTCGGACAACTTAGGTGCTTCAACTATCTTTATTACCGGTATGGCACCTTCGATTGGAGTAGTCACGGAAATTGCTGTATCGGAATTATTCCGCTTTAACGAAGCTTTCTTTACGGTCGAGTTTGTGTCCTTAGTGTCAATTGCTATCGAAAGATTTCTCTTCTTTTTTGGCGGTACTTTCGGCACCTTTTTCTCGACTTCCGCTTTCGCAAGTTTCGCGATTTCCGCTTCTTTCATTTTTAAAGATTCCGAAAGTTTTCTTTCTTTCTCCTCTTCGACAACTACGTTACTGGATCCGACTGTCAAATTTTCGAGCTCCGCGATGCTCATTTTAATGTCGATCTCATTTTCCTTTCCATTAGCTTTCGAATTTATCGAGTTCATTTTTTCCTCGACTTTGGAAATTGGAGAAGAAATTGTTGCCTCGCGAAAAGTAAATCCATTCGGTTGCTTCGATCTCGCCACTTCAGGACTACCCGGTGCTTTGATCTCGCTCCAAAAATCAATGGACTCGGTAGAGGCACTCCTCGATAATACTTCGTTTTTGTCCTGAAGGTCGCAACTTACGTCGAGCTTCATTGGCTTCTTTTCTGTTACTTTACTCAAAGATTTTATCGGCTCTGACGTCTTCTTAACGGATATGTCCTTGTCCGTGGCTTTTTCATCAATAGATACAGACTGTTGGAAAACCTTGGGGATTTTATTCAACAAGCGATCATTCATCAATTTCGAAGAGTCAACAGAAATACTTTTCTTCAAAACTGACGTTTTGTCATTGGCGTCGTTGCGAAAAAATGATTTGCCATCTTCGATTTTCATTGTTTTAAATGCGCCTAAATCCTTTCCAATCTTTGATGAGTTCACAACACTGCTTTCGTTCGCATATTTTTTTAAGAGGGTCTCCGCTTTGAAGCAAAACTTTGAATCTGCGCTGTTAAGCTTCGGCACCTTGCTCTTAGGACTGGGTAAATCTCTCGAGAAATCTTTTCCTACATCAATACGATTAATTTTTTTAATCGTATCAGTTTTTAATAGTTCTGCTTCTTTTGATGCTGTTTCTTCGGTGACGATTACCTTCGCTTCGGTCTTCGATGAATCAATTGTTTTTAAGAGATTTCCGTCAGTCTTTTTCGCGTTATCTCTCAATGTTTTTGTCAGATCGACATTTTTTGCTGGCTTAACATCCGTTGCTAATTTCGCCTCCTCATATTCATTGCTACGCACTTTGTCGTTTGTTTCCTTGGGCAAGGTCGTTTCTTTCGCTTCCAACTTGACTGCGTCATCGTGTCGAATCGCGTCGACTCTACAAGTTGGTTTATCCGCGTCTACGCCACTGGTTCTCTTCGAGGCATTGAAAGAGGAAACTTGCGCCAAGTTTGATGTTTTGTTCACCTTCTTTTCCGACAACGCGGTATCCCCAACGACGGCCTGATCACTTTTCGATGAGTCCGCCAGATACTCTGCGGTCTCTCGTAACGAAAGCTTTGGCGCTTCTACGGCATTATTTCTATCCGTATTAATTTTAGACAGTTTTGGCAGACGACAGGTCGCGCTATTTGTCGTGAGCGTCGCACCACTGGCTCCGTTTTTACCAACATTGTCGCTAGCTTCGGTCTCGACAACGCTTCGCTTCATCGTGTCCTCGTCGTGCGACAACGCCGAGATCTTTGGCCTGTTCTCTTCCGCTACGAGCTTATCCTTTCCAACGGAAATAACAGAATTTTCGATGGCAAAAATCTCCGGCGTTTTGATAGTCGAATCGGCTTCTAGACGATCAGATACCTTCTCTGTAGCATCGAACGCATTGTGAGCCTTTGGACTTTCGTCATTCTTTGTATCCAAGATGAAAATATCTTCAGATATTCCTCGAAGATATTCCATTTGTGAGTCGTTTTTCAATGCGTTCGTCAAAACAAAAGCTGAAATGTTCGATTGTATGGGATTTGCTGCTATCTCGGCTTTCTTCGCTGAGTCTCCAATAACGATTTCTTGCATATCATTCTTTGTTGCTGAGACGGGATCTCGTTTATCCCACGAGTCATCATTCGATATGGAATGAATGTCTTCCCTTACCAAGGATTCCACCTTCTTAGATTTATACACTATTTTCTTTAACGTTTTAATGTCCTTATTAATATCACTTGCCGTTTGAATCTTGCAATTCGACTCCGTCGAATCTTTATCTGTTAAACATTTTAACGCATTGCTTCCAAGAATATTATTTTTGACGTCAACAAAGCCATTCGTCAATTGATCTTCATCGACTTTCACATTGAGTTTATTGACTTCGTCCAGTTTTTCGTCAAGTTTGTCCGTAGGCTTTCTCATTGTCAAATACACGCTATTTCTGGACGGATCCTTTACGTAAGGTTTTCGCACCGCTAACACGACTTGTGTTTCCGCTTCGTCCGTATCGTTCGAGGAAACGTCCGTCCTATTCCCAGTTCCGAATCTCCTGGGAACAGAGATCTTTTCCTTGAACTGCTCGACCGTCGATTTGCGCTTGTCATTCTCAGAACTCGTATTCACCCAAATTGTCGAGAAATCCCCTGCGCTATTACAGGCCTCGATCTTGTACATCTGAGGTCTTGACTCATCATCCTCTTTAATCTGCGAATCAGTGGAAATTTCGCTAGAGGTGCTCGATTGCCTGTTATCTATTTTATCAATCGGCGACAGTTTGTCGGTAGACAATCGTTTTTTCTTTTTCATTTTCTTCATGGCTTTCCTCATCCTTGCCGCGGCCGCTTCCTCTTCCTCCTGAGTCATCGTGTCGGAATCGACGTTGTTCGCGTAATAGGGGCGCTCGATGATCGGCCCTCTCGCTGTCGTGCTTTTTCTGAATACTAAAGTACCTTGACGCGCCTCGTTTTCAATCTGCGCCTGCTCCTCAGCCACGAGACTATCCAGGACCTTCGCCTGCACTTGCGCGTACGCAGCCTCCCGTTGTATTTGCTCAGGATCGAGCTGCAAATCGGCGGAAGACCTGCGCCGCGTGAATCTGCGGGTGATTCGCTTCTGCACAGCTTCTCGCTCTTGAGGATCTTCCAAACGATCTAAATTGATCTGATGATACAGACGTATTCCCTGTTGGCTCCCGTCGCCGTCAGACTTCTTGTCTTTAATGAGGAATTTTTCCATTAGAAGTTCGCCCATCGACTTCTCATGTCTCTCGTAGTGCTCGCGTAATGCCGGATTGTCTTTCAGAGCCTGCGATCTGATCTTGATAGTCGGCCGATCGCGGCGTAGCCGATTTCTAGGAGGGTTCCCATTGTGCGAAAGTATTCTCGGTGACGAGACATCGATGTCCGCTGTGTCGATCACTCGTCTCGCCGATCTCACCGAGATCGGCGAGAAACGATGAAGATGACTGAGCGGGGATTCCGAAATCGTTGACAGATGCGGTGAGAAACGCGACAGCGAAGTGTGAAAAGGCGTTCTGTGCGAAACATCATAATCTCATTTGAAATTGGTAGCCGTAATCTACATTTGCATACGTAATTTGACTTCCATTTTGGCGGATATTTTTCTCGTGGATCGTTCAACGTGTTTCTTACACAAATAGTAAGGCCATGTATGAAACCAATCGTTAGAAGCTCGAGCCTTAAATTAACGTCATCGCAAATGAGAAAATGTTACTACACTGTCCAACAAAAAAATGACTTTTTTCGAACACAAAAACGATGGTAAATGTTTTCCGTAGTTCTTGAATACAATCCCGTTTACCAAATTGATCTATCACATCACAATTTTGAATGCGAGTTAAAAATTGTAAAAGAGGCTATTTTAAAGTATTTTAGCATGTTATTACTACGATATATATGTAACAAAGTTTGCAATTAAAATTAAATATGTTATTAGGACTTTTAGCCCTTAAAAGAGATTTGTCGTGTCGATTACAGTTAAAAGAATTTATCGAAAATCAAGAGCCATCTCTGTAGTCGAAAGTGTGAAAGTGACATTTTGAGTCCGTATATTAATGTAAAACTTTCAGATTCGGACTTTGTGTCGCAATATTTCCGCTCGTAGAGTACGTAGAGAAAAAATAAAAACACTTTTGTTATATAATTCAAACCCAAGCTATCGATTGAACCTACTCAGAACTCAATCTGTTCAGTCATTATGAAAATCTCAAAATCTCGGGTACTCGCAACTTGTCCGCTCGCGTAAAGATACACGAGGCGGTCTCGCGCAACACTACCGTGTCTCTTGATATTCATAATTAATATAAAGTCTGTCACAAATTATAAGGTCATTAAAACCCATTAAACATTTTTTAATTATGTTATTCAAACTCTTAAGGGTTTTTCAGTTAAATACTAATCTGATATCAAAATTAACAAATTCAGTTTAATCATTTCATTCAATTTAAATTGTATAAAAACTCCTTATGCATGAATTATTTCAAAAATTCGAACACTTCAATTTTAACATTCGACCATTTTGAATTTATCAACTTTGACATCTGATTAATGTTTTTAATGTTAAGCGACCAGTGGAGAAACTCTTAAATTTAAATAATATAATTAAAAAATATTTGGTTAATAGCATTTGTGAGTCACAACTGACGCAATAAATCCTATATCAATTATAAATATTTTTTAATCATAATCGACACGACAAATTCCTTTTAAGGGCTGAGAGTATTAATAACATATCTAATTTTAATTATAAAAGAATTTGTCCAACACGTCACATATCATATAATATATGGCATTAAAATATGCCAAAATATCATATAATTATTGGCATTATAATATGCCAAAATACTCTAAAATAACTTTTTTTGCAACTTTAATTACAAATTTCTCAAAATTGAGATGTAATAGAGCAATTTGATACCAAGACGTATTCAGCACTTAAAAAACTACGATAAACGATTAGGCCAGTCATATTGGACATCAAACCTTCTAATTAATCTTCCCGGAAATAACAAAAAAAATCACCGGTGCAACATTAAAAAAACGACGAAATTGAGAATTTTCGGGATCCGAGTCTCGGAGTTTGATGACGCGTGCAAGCTAAACGACTGACTTGACGATCAATGTTGTTTAGATCATAATTGTAGATAATTTTACGCTCTACAAAAAAGATACGTATAGTTAGTTACCCTATCTTGCTTAGTTTTCGAGATATTTGAGAAAAAATAAAAAAATCGCGTTTTTTGTTGATAATATTGTTAATAACTTTTTATTCCCCGTTAATTTTGTGAAGCAAAATAAAACCCACTTATAGCACCTCAAATTAAAGCGATTCATGGTAGTTGAAACTTGGGAAGATTAATTGGAAGGTTGACCCCCTAAATTAGTCTAATATGACTGGCCTAGATTGCCTTTGCCCTTGTGCATTTTTTTTTGTCAACAGTTATCAGCATAAAAAATACGTGAGTTTGTTGCACAATTTTACAAGACAATTTTACTTTACCTGTATTTTAAGAGCACGAAACAAATCTTACGTAAGCAATGTAGCATATAGAACATAGAATATAACAAAATCCTAAACACGTCTCATCTGGTAATATCATGGGATATGCATTGCGATATGTTCGTATTAATTGACAAGCCCTTCGATCGGCTATTACATCAGCTATTATTTCATTGCCAAATGCTTATTTTTGCTCCTTGTTACGTTGCAGAACGGAAACATTTCACGAACACTTGTTAGACACACATGTGGAATGTAAACGTGGCCAGTTTGATGAAGACATTTGATCGATCGACGCGTAAATGGATACTATTTTATAATCACGCCTGGAAAATTCTTTCAATTGTATGAAATTGAAAAAAGATATTTATTTTATCTGTATATATTTTATTGTCTTTATTCTTATCACGTATGACAGACTAAAAAATTAAAAAAAAATATATATATATATCCCATTTTTTTAAGATAGTACTCACACAAAAAAGAAAAATGTTGCTGCGAAGATGTATTATTTTCAAGATACTGAAATACAAATAAAAACGACATATTTTGATGGAAATGCAGTTATATTTTCTTCTCTCTACTCTCATGTAAAATTGTTTTAAAAAATGGAGCACACAAATATTGTTTTACTTAATATAGACACATTTTTAAAATATATCTCTGACACCTGATAACAATTGAATGGAATCCAATTCGGAAATATTTAAAATATAGATATTTCCAATATTTTACAACAAACCGATATATGCGCGATTTATATAGGTTTATCACTAAACTTGTCGATTATAAATTTAACATTCGTTATTTCCTATGATGTCACAATCAGATTAGTTTATAATTAATTCTCAAATTCATCGTTATTGCTATCACGCAATGATAAATGATCTAGCAAATCGTAAAAGTCGCGGATGCGTTTGTCTCGCCAAGAATAAAAGACAAGAAATTTTCACCAATTATAACGCGCTGTCTGCTCGCGTTATGTATTTTACAACAATGTATGATATATTTTTAACAACTTTTTTGAAAACTGTAAAAATTTAAATTAAAGTCAATACCGATAATAATCAATATCGACTCTCAGGTTTTTTTTATTGGTCACGATTTGAATTTTTAATCTACAGACAATTATTGTCTATTTAACTGATTTTCTCAAAACATTTTAGAGTTTTAAACGCAACATGTACACCTTGGCGACCTTGAGAAAGATTTCCACCGTCAAACGTCCTTGAGAAAGATTTCCACCGTTAAATGTCCGTCCAAAAAAAAGAACAAATTTTATCCTAATGGGAATAAGATACGAAAAAAACTTCAACTTCCTTGCTAAAATAAATATCGGATACAAACGATGATGTTTTTGGTTTGCATTGGATTAAAATTGCTCTATTCTTACCGTGCCGTGCCTGTCATTAGCGAGCTGTGATTAGCGTATGCTCCTGCACCGTAATAGTATGGGACATCGTTATAGTACGGCATTTTCTTTTACACCTTTATTCTCTGTTTACACCAAATGACAATAGTTCGACGACAGTAATGAACGATTGAGCTCGTGAGGAACGATCGGCGCGTTGGTCGAGGGGACGACTGAACCGGACTGCGTTGTGCTCTTAGCAGCAATTAAACGGCGGATAAACGCGGCAGCTCCGGCACTCAGGTGTGCGAAAAGCGAAGCCGTTCTCACGGTTCAGAGAGCCAAGACCAACTGAGTTTAAGCCGGCGACCCGGTGTAATAATAGAATTCTAGTATATGAGGCTTCCAAGCACCTAACTATACTACCCGACTCTAATAACCCGCTCGCACACGGCCGGCTATTATGGCTGGTAGTTGCAACGGCGAGAGGAATGCGGAACAATAAGCTATCCGCATCCTCTTCAGCGTCGTTGCGTTTAATAATACTCATTCATGTTAACGAGATCATTAGGGATTTTCATTAAGGGAAGATAACGTGCGCACGAACGAAAGAAACGAAGAAATTGATTGTGAATTGTTAAGAACGAGTTTTAATTACGTTTTATTTATTTGTACATGTAATCAATTACGTCAAGTACAGGAATTACATTTATTCAAGAGAAAAGTATTGAAATCCTCAAATATAACGGAGAAAAGTTTTGACTAAACTTACAATTTTAAAGAGAAAATAACTACCGTTCAAAGTTTGAAAGCACTACTTTTTTAAGAAAAACAAAACAGTGGTGCTACTTCCAAAAAAATGTCATATGAGAAACTTTATTATCTGTTTTAACTATTCAAAACAGTATTATTTGTTTCTAATCATTTTCCAAGAAAGTCTTTTTCCTAACGCGAGCGTGAAATGGGCCGCTTTTCACGCTTGTTTTGAGTGAGCAAAACGATCCATTTCTCCACACTAATTGAAAAATGGAGCCATTTCTCAACTAGTAGAGAAATGAAATTGTAAAACAAGCGCGAAAAGCGGCCTGTTTCACGCTCTTGTTAGGAAAAATAGTATGAACAACTCGTGGGAAAAGTGGTCGAGCCCAAATGAGTGTGATGGTCGCACTCGCTTCGCTCGTGCGACCAACTTCACACTCATTCCGAATCGACCACTTTTCCCACTAGTTGTACAATATACTATTATTTGAAGAATTTTACCGAGTGAACATGCTATTACATGCCATTATTCTGTTATAAAGAAAGAACAAGTTTCTATGGTTCGAATAAAATATAATAAATTTAAAAATAACAATTATTATATTTTTCTTAAACTTAAATCATGAAAACTTGTTCTTTCTTCATAACAGAACAGTAGTAGGTGTAGCATATTCACTGGGTAAAATTCTTTACATTAAAAAAATAGTGCTTCCAAACTTTTGAACGATATTTAGTATATGTAACAAATCTTTCATAGCATATAATTTTTATTAATATTGAAAATTATCGATGTTTTTATAAATGGAATTATAATACTTTCTTTCTACATAATTCTCTCTCTCCCCTCTCCCTTCTTCCCTCCCCGCCCACCTCCCTCTTCTCTTTCTCGCTTTCTTTTTCTATTTTTCCTCTTTTTCTCTTTTTTCGGTGATCTTACTTTCTATTAGCACACAGTGATGAGCTAAATCTCGATTGATGTATATAGAAAGAAAATACATAACTGCATTTTTTAAAAATGCAACTATTTTTATTGCATATTATTCTTATTTACTTTTTTATCATATATGTAATTGATTATGTAGATGCATTATATAATATGTATACAGGGTGAGGCAATAACTATTACCACTTTAAATATATTTGAATCTATAAGGCCCAAAGAAAAATTAGTGTAACCAAAATTGTACGGTACGAAGAGGGCTATTAGCGATAATAATTTCTGTCCAGGTGGAGGCGTTTCGGAGATATCAAGGTCATCTTCATTTTTTTAAATTGATTTGGTACATTTTTTCCATAATATGATAGAGGAGCTAAAAACAACTTTAGAACTCATGACACGAGATCATTGAATAAGATTTAAAGTGAAGAAAGAACGATTAAAAAATACATTTTTGTATTGAATGAAAACGTTTAAAGAAGATGTTCGAAGTGATGACCATTATTATCGATGCAACACTGGATTCTTTCGATCACTAATTGGCTTGCTC